CAGTAAACATTGTACTCACTATTTAGCTTATGTCACAGTAAACATTGTACTCACTATTTAGCTTATGTCACAGTAAACATTGTACTCACTATTTAGCTTATGTCACAGTAAACATTGTACTCACTATTTAGCTTATGTCACAGTAAACATTGTACTCACTATTTATACCATCAATACTGCTTACATAAGTGTATATACCGTGTCAACATACATATCAGTTAAGTCTTTTGTACAAATTGATAAGTATAGTGTTAACCTACAGTAAAATCTCGTAAATCGTTCCAAAAACCTTGTACAGATTCGCCGGGAATCACTGCAACCTATATTTGTACAGATTCGTTAGGACCCGTGTTGTTTGTTCTTGGTTATAACCCGCTTGCTGGCTTTTACCTTTCCGACTTTAAATATGCTTACTGTTCATTTGAACACGCTTATGTTTTCCTGAGATCCGTGCTACGAAGATATCTTTAACAGTTAAAACAGGGCCCGCTCTAACATTATTTGTGTGTACCTTGGTACTCTGTTTCTATGGTAACTACTGACACCCTAATACGATCCTAGGTTTAAAACAAGAAGGTTAATTAACTGTCGTCACCTCGGAACTCCAATACGGCGGAGACGTGTTCGCGGGGACAGTACTCAGCGAGCAGCTAGGAGTGTGCAGTACTGGACCAGTACATACCCCTAGCAGTACTACTGGTACCGTCCCGTACCTCTCTCTATTTCTCCTGATTCTCTTTTACCGCTGCACATACCTATTTCTCCTGATTTTTTGGGTTCTCGTTTACTGAAAGTTTACAGCTAAGTTCTCCTGCATTGCTATAGTGCTAGGTTCTCTGATTTTGTGAGGTTTTCTTGTAGTTGTACTGCAAGGTTGTTTCTTGTAGTTGTACTGCAAGGTTGTTTCTTGTAGTTGTACTGCAAGGTTGTTTCTTGTAGTTGTACTGCAAGGTTGTTTCTTGTACTTTATGTCTCCACTTTATGTGATTCTCCGTTTTCTAACTCCGGGGATTCTCCTAGCTGCTATATATTTTTAAACCTGTTCAGTTGCAACCCTCTTGAGTATTTTGTAATTTGGTTATGTTTTGTACTTTGAAAGTTTGTCCATTTCCCGATCCAACTTAGATTCGAGAGAGGTTGAAGTAATTCCTGTACCTCTTGTCTCTTCATCCCAGCCTTTCTCACTTCTTTAATACTTCAAGGTCCACTACAGTTTGTTAAATTCAAGTTTTGCACGTTTTCCGGAGTAAAAACAAAAAACAGTACACTGATGTTACATATTATAAACTCTTCACGGCTCAATCTTACTTGTATTTTAATATAACAGAGACATTTCTACTGGGGAGTCTCGGAAATAAATCCAACATGAAATTAGGGCAGACCTTCAATACACATAATATGTAAACGAAGATAACACATATCACCTACAGCAGATTCCACACTAACGACCATTAATTACAAAGTGTACCACCCTCCCTCCCATTCCAGAATATTATTCTTCTCAGATTACAGTACTGAGTTTCCCAAAAGTCTCTGACGTATTTCCTGCCAAATTCCCACTAAACAGCCCTGAGATTGCAATTTGCAGGTCACTGACGTCATCAAGATGCCAAACTAACAATCATAAAACACAGAGGGCATTGTTATACGATCTGTATTTAAGTTAAATTAATTATAATTTAAAGTTTGTACCCGGACAGCTTTATCAGTCATGGAGGGTCTTATTGAACCGCTTTTTAGCACATTTAATTATCTCTAGTTTTAAATAGTTTCTGAACCACGCCCCCTCTGATAAACACTTATTTATTATTGTCAGCATTTAACCGCGATCAAAGGATTCTATCTAAATCAGATAATATTATTAGCGAACAGTTCCGTCATTGACTCATAGAGCGCTTCATTTGACTCGAGTTGGAATCACCTCAACAAGACACTACGACGTGTTGCTAATATGTGGGGTCTCCTGGCTGCGATGAAATCATCTCCAGTCTAGTGATATCATTGTCCGGTAACTTGAGTCTTAATTTAAACCTTCTATCTGTTTCTTTGAGGCGATAAATCCGTCATTTTATCGTTTTAATCTTTTGCTTTGTTGCTTAGTTACCCAAACATTTTGTTTTCTGTTATAAGAATTGGGCCAAGGCTCATAATAACTGATCCATGGGGCTGGCACTCTGACGCAAGCCGGATTTGTCTATTTGAAAACGTGAAAGAAATCCAAACTTTTTAATAAATTGAACTTAATTGAAAGCCAGCCTAGAAACAGACAGATTAGTAAACAAAAACGATTAAATACTGCAACGTTCCCCTACTCGGCTACTCAAGGTTTCATATCTCGCTTCACCAGGCGTAACAAAAAATGTAGCTGAAATTTGGTAGAAACAGAACAGTGGGACACACTCGCACAGTGGGACACACTCGTGGGACACACTCGCACAGTGGGACACACTCGTGGGACACACTCGCACAGTGGGACACACTCGCACGGTGGGACACACTCGTGGGACACACTCGCACAGTGGGACACACTCGCACAGTGGAACACACTTGTGGGACACACTCGCACGGTGGGACACACTCGCACAGTGGGACACACTCGCACGGTGGGACACACTCGCACAGTGGGACACACTCGTGGGACACACTCGCACAGTGGGACACACTCGCACAGTGGGACACACTTGTGGGACACACTCGCACGGTGGGACACACTCGCACAGTGGGACACACTCGCACGGTGGGACACACTCGCACAGTGGGACACACTCGCACGGTGGGACACACTCGTGGGACACACTCGCACGGTGGGACACACTTGCACAGTGGGACACACTCGCACGGTGGGACACACTCGCACAGTGGGACACACTCGTGGGACACACTCGCACAGTGGGACACACTCGCACAGTGGGACACACTTGTGGGACACACTCGCACGGTGGGACACACTCGCACAGTGGGACACACTCGCACGGTGGGACACACTCGCACAGTGGGACACACTCGCACGGTGGGACACACTCGCACAGTGGGACACACTCGTGGGACACACTCGCACAGTGGGACACACTCGCACGGTGGGACACACTTGCACGGTGGGACACACTCGCACGGTGGGACACACTCGCACAGTGGGACACACTCGTGGGACACACTCGCACAGTGGGACACACTCGCACGGTGGGACACACTCGCACGGTGGGACACACTCGTGGGACACACTCGCACAGTGGGACACACTCGCACGGTGGGACACACTTGCACGGTGGGACACACTCGCACAGTGGGACACACTCGCACTGCTTCCCCCTCATTACCTCTGTACGAGATACAGTGCAATACAGTATCGCACTGCTTCCCCCTCATTACCTCTGTACGAGATACAGTGCAATACAGTATTGCACTGCTTCCCCCTCATTACCTCTGTACGAGATACAGTGCAATACAGTATTGCACTGCTTCCCCCTCATTACCTCTGTACGAGATACAGTACAATACAGTATCGCACTGCTTCCCCCTCATTACCTCTGTACGAGATACAGTGCAATACAGTATTGCACTGCTTCCCCCTCATTACCTCTGTACGAGATACAGTGCAATACAGTATTGCACTGCTTCCCCCTCATTACCTCTGTACGAGATACAGTGCAATACAGTATCGCACTGCTTCCCCCTCATTACCTCTGTACGAGATACAGTGCAATACAGTATTGCACTGCTTCCCCCTCATTACCTCTGTACGAGATACAGTGCAATACAGTATTGCACTGCTTCCCCCTCATTACCTCTGTACGAGATACAGTGCAATACAGTATTGCACTGCTTCCCCCTCATTACCTCTGTACGAGATACAGTGCAATACAGTATTGCACTGCTTCCCCCTCATTACCTCTGTACGAGATACAGTGCAATACAGTATTGCACTGCTTCCCCCTCATTACCTCTGTACGAGATACAGTGCAATACAGTATGTATGCCCTCATCTGTCATCAGCTCTCTGCACAATATCACCTTTTCTACTATCCCTTAGTAACCATGGTTACTAAATCACCTTCCTTTTCTCTCATATCTCCCGTGTATGTCGGCTTTTGGCTTGAAACGTTTAAATCTTAATAACTTTGATACGGTCCCTGCTAGCAGATGGAACAGAAGGAACTTGGTCTGTTGTTTAACTACTTTAAAAAAAGTTTTAATGGACTGTTGTATTTTGTTTAATACTCCACATTTCTTGTTGGTTTCTCAAGTTTTCGTCTCACTTTTCGTCTCACAATAATTTACAGTACCCTGCTCCAATAGTTTTACAGGCTTACAGACGACAAAATAAACTTATAGCTGAATACCGAAAATTTCGTTTGCTACTCTTTTCTTAAGAAAAATGTGTTCCCATGAGTTTACAAAAAGGCACGGGAATTTATCCCGGGAATTTATCTCCTGGGATAATTCCTGTGTTAATTATTAATCTCCTCAGCAAATTCAAGTGATTCCGGTGAACTATTAAATCTGGTTCAGTAAAAGTTATCTTTACCTGTATCCTGGTTCACCCTGATTCATGATAAATGCTCTGTCTTGATAGCATTACATAAAGTTTGTAGATTCAAATCGAATTGCTCCAAGTAATGTTCTTGGAGCAATTCGATTCTTTTATAGTCTGCGTCTCTTTTACACTTAAAAAAACAATACTTCCTTATAAATATTCTAAACGACTAAGCTTATATTAATACTGTTGTTTATCACTGTCTCCTGTTTCCGTCTGGGTTAAAACTTGCTTTTAGTTCTTTTCTAATGTTATATCGATACCTTTGTAGTCTTAAATATGCCCGAATTTGCATGATTTTCATGTTTACAAGTCTCGCTTTTCCCCGCTAAATGTCGAAGCGTGATAAGATAAATGCAGTGGCGTAACGAAGGGCCCCGCCGACCCTGCTGTGCGGGGGCGGCGGGGGCGCCAACAGGCAACGTTACGCCACTGGATAAATGCTACAATTTATTTATCGATAACACCTTTTTCCAGTGCTATGGCAAAGGAATTACCAACTAAGATAAAATGTGTTATGATAGGGGACAGTAACGTGGGAAAGACGACTATATTTCAGGTACAGTAATCATGGTAACGTTAGGGACGTTAGTAACCATGGTAACGTTAGTAACCATGGGTATACTATTCCAGGTACACGTCTATCAAACGTAGCTTCCTATTTCCCAAGAGAGTTGGTAAATTCCGCGAATTCTTATAATACGTCATGTGAATTCGTTATATTTTGGAACAAACTTACAATATTTAGACGTCAATGAGCTTGATTCGGCAACAAATACTGACGGTTGTTTTAAATACACATTGTTAAGCTTATGTGAAGAAGAACGCACCCCCCCCCCCCCGGCACCCCCGGGCCCCCCACCCTACCTTCTTAGATCCATCATTAGGTTCACAAATACTAAGTTACCTATTATTCGTCTGAAACACAACCCGTTTATATTTCCTTCGCTGTGCAACATAACTTACCTCATTTTACAAGACGTTAGACATTATAAATTCTCGGCTTTTTTCACACAAATAAGTTCTCGCATAATATGCACATTATATGTACAGTGTATCACTGGTAGCATACTGGTAGCATACTGGTAGTGTAACTGTATTTTCTCTCTCTAGGCGTGCCTCCTGAACTCGGAGCAAGAGGCCGGGGGAGTAACCATGGTTAGTAACCATGGTAACGTTAGTAACCATGGTAAAGTTAGTAACCATGGTAACGTTAGTAACTGGTAGTGTAACTGTATATTCTCTCTCTAGGCGTGCCTCCTGAACTCGGAGCAAGAGGCCGGGGGAGACGTTTGTGACAGTGGAGTGGCCGAGCTTACAGGTACTACATGTCAACATGTACCACGTGTTATGTCACGTGTTGTGTCACGTGTTGTGTCACGTGTTGTGTCACGTGTTATTCACGTGTTATGTCACGTGTTGTGTCACGTGTTGTGTCACGTGCTATGTCACGTGTTGTTCACGTGCTATGTCACGTGTTGTGTCACGTGCTATGTCACGTGCTATGTCACGTGCTGTGTCACGTGCTATGTCACGTGTTGTGTCACGTGCTATGTCACGTGTTGTGTCACGTGCTATGTCACGTGTTGTGTCACGTGCTATGTCACGTGTTGTGTCACGTGCTATGTCACGTGTTGTGTCACGTGTTGTGTCACGTGTTATTCACGTGTTGTGTCACGTGTTATTACGTAATGTGAAGTAGTTCTGTGCTTGTATTCTACATAATATTGTTCATATTATGCGATTGTATAGTTTTTTACACATTTTTTGTTGACGGTTATTTGTTGGTGCTGTGATTATTAATTGTGAGCCGAGCATTTTGAAATTACCAAAACGGTAGTCACATCAATTCAGCTTTCGAACTAGAATAAACATTTTTAAATCAGCAAATCTGAACCATCAGCAGAGTGCGAAGAAAGTTTTTATCAAAATGATTTTCAAGATTTTTGTGTTTGATCCTAAAATAATCCGCAAGGGAGCGGTCTGTTATCAGTTTTACAGGAAACTACAGGTCACCTGGTTACCTGGTTACCTGGTTACCTGGTTACCTGGTTACCTGGTTACCTGGTTACCTGGTTACCTGGTTCATCAAATGGAGCGGTCTGTTATCAGTTTTACAGGAAACTAAAGCCATTTCTCGCTCAGTGGATAATGTCCCGTACGAAATAACGCTGTACGATACAAGTGGTAGAGAATCAGATATACCCTTAATCTCATCCCTTACCTTTCCCAGAACAAGTAAGTGGAATGTTCGAGAAGTTTCTCAAATATTTTCGTTTTTTTGGGGTGTGGTAATTACATTTTAGAAGTCTCAAATCCTTACATAACAATGTTAAAGAGTTCATTGAATTTGTGAATTTTAAAAACATGTAACCCCTATGATCTAAAATACTATACTATCTGGACACAATTTGATCAGTCAATAAACCCTTTTAATAATAAATTGATTTCCCCCATGATTTTCTACATCAAAACTCTCAATTACTCTGGAACTTCCACTTACATAGCTCACATCGCGGACATTACATATTGTTAATTGGGTAATACCCACTGAAATTCTATACTTCGAGGGACTCTCTGTGCAGTTGAAAAATGACACCGAATGCATGAAATGGTGGAGGATAGGATTACAAGAACCATATGTTGGATTTACACGTGATGCCCATATAAGGAGTGTGTTGGAATTAATATCACAACCTCGTGATTTCAAGAAATTGCACGCGACGTTGAGAGTGTATACATTTTAAAGATAACCACTAGTTACTAAACCCTAACCACTAATTTCAGATGTTTTTGTACTGTGTTACAGCGTTATAGGCCCTAGATCGCTGGATAACATCGAGAACGTGTGGTTAAAACAGGTAACTTTTAACGATTAAATTAATAATTAATTAATCAATTAATTTACAGGTAATGATTAATGATCGCGAGATTGTTCACTAAAACGCTCTTGGATGAGTCTTATCACATTTAATCCTACTCAACTTTCTAACACCAAACTCACAATACACATACAACAAATACAACAACAATAACGACTGTTAAAATCACTAAAACCACGTGTTAATAACACATGTTCTCCACAGATAGCTAAACATAGGAAGAAAGCAGTGACTGTCCTCCTAGGACTGAGAACAGACCAGCGAATAGACAAGACCCAGAATATAGTGACCTACTATCAAGCCAAGGACTTTGCTGAGAAACACAACCTCTCCGGTTTTACAGAGTGCTGTGCATTCGACTCAATCAGGTCTCTGCTTCTCTCTGCTGCTTTCAGCTTCTCTCTGCTTCTCTCAGCTGCTTTCAGCTGTTTTTTTTGTTTTCTACTAATTATCAATGTTAACTTTGAGATGTTGTTTTGTCGCGATGAGAGTGCAGTAGTTAAGAATACTCTTACACTCTGTTGGAATGAGATATAGATGATTTAGATATTATATAGTTGCCAGTTAACACTGTCACATTATTAGTTATTACATTGTGACATACTTTATCACATTGTGACACACATTGTGACACACATTGTGACACACATTGTGACACACATTGTGACACATATTGTAACACAAATTGCAATTCTTCAGAACGGAGATATTGAAGCAGTTCATAGTAAAGTGCCACACTGGAAAGGAGAAGAAAGAATGTTGTATACAATGAGAATATACAATGTATATACAATGTACAATGAGAATAACGACTACCATAATCTCTGTTCGTATTGATCAACCTCCACATTTCCAACCTTGGTAAAGCTATTTCTAAGAGAATATAAAAACAGAAACTGCAACTTGTGGAACTATGATGAGTTTTTGATGAGCTATTCAGCGTTACCATGGTTACTAACGTTACCATGGTTACTAACGTTACCGTGCAACCTAATCACTACTCCCTATCTCAAGATGGACAGTAAATTGTTGTTTCATTCTTGTTTAGCTACGTTGGTGACTTCTTGTGCTCGTGTATGATGTTTCTTAATAACTTGGTATCCGTAAATTATAATACTAATTATAATACTAATAGACCGTGCTGTCTGTTTGATTTATCTTTGGTTGCGTTTTAAGTAACCCAGCGTTACCATGGTTACTAACGTTACCATGGTTAAGTAACCCAGACCATATTTTATTGTAACTCATTTGAAATTGTTAATCATTTGAAATTGTTACTCATTTGGCTGTTACAAATTGGATTGTAGCCCATTTGGTTGCCTTCATTAGGTTTCTATTCATTTGATTGTTACTCATTTGATTGTTACTCATTTTCCGATATTTAAGTTCGGTATAGTAATCGGTTTGGTCTTTGTTAATCTTTTACATTGATTTATTCTTTAAAAACTATGTTAATTTCTTATATCAGGGTGTACCTTACTGATTGATACATACTATAGATACTGATTGGCTCACACTAAAAGCTTAAAAACAATTTGTGGCATCTGAACAATGTGACACTAGGATCAAACTCACTTTGCTGCATAATCTGTGCTAATAGCATAGCACTGCAGCTAACCTCAATAGTCAATATAACGTTTAATATAATATTGCTAACCTCAATCTCTTGTTTGCCGATCATTCCAAGGAAGTTCATGGTAGCCAAGTTTAGACATTCCTTCCCGTTTATCGTCACGTATTTACCAACCTTACTGTAATATAAATGTGATAAGTGAAGTTATAGATAGTGCCAGCTTACTATGTTACGAGATATTGAGTTTATTAATAATAATAATAAATTGAAATTTAATAACACCGCTCTGAAGATAAAACTTACACTCAGCAGTGTTTAAACTAGTCATCCCAGAAAATAACATGAATACTAAGTTAAGAAAAGTAACTTAAATGCTTGAAAATATATCGTCAATACTAAAGCCAGAAAATGGTATTTAAACATATTATGAAAAGATCAAACACCAGATATGATCAAAATAGTTATCGATAGTTATCGATAAAGTTTTTCAAGTTCATCTAGACCGGACAGTTTAAAAAGGTACGTTTTTAGAAGAGCTTTAAAAGATTCCAAGGATTGACGATTGTATTAATGACTGTAAACCCGGGATTAATTGATTTTTATGTGTATTTTAATTGGCTGACAATTTCAAGAAAACCGACAGTTTCTAACCGCCAATTACAAATCGGTGCGCAGTAACCATAGTAACGGTGCCCTATAATTCCCATCAAAACCGCAGTCCAAACCTCTCAATGATGGGAACAGGAACTTCCTTTTCAGCCGCTCCAACTGGTACTAATGGTTCTGGAGTCCACTCCGCAATCAGCTTCTGTAGTTATTTAGTTAGTTAATTAATTAGCTGCACTGTATGTTAATTAATTAGCTGCACTGTATGTTAATTAATTAGTTGAATAATCATCCTCTTTAGGTTGAATATTATGTCAGTTAAATATGATACAATTAATTATTCTCTGTATAGCAGATTATTTAGTTAGTGCAGTCATTGTACTGTTTAGGTTAAATATTAATTTACAATGTAGTGAAAATATAGTCTAGCCGATTAATAATATTACTATACAATATGTCTCACAATGAAAAGTTGGATAATTTAAAAAAGAAGACGCTTAACAAATAGCTGACCTCCATTTCTTTCTCTGTGAGGGGTGTTTCGTCAGCAGGGGATCCCGTGCTCTTGCTCATCAGTATCTTGAGGATGAAGAGAACCAGTCCGATCTCAACTATCAAATGGTAGAATGGGATCTGAGATGGTGGTATCATGTTCATTTTAAGTTTTATAGAATTATTCATTTTATGGTTAAGATCCAACGCAGTGTGAACAAAATAATGGCTATCTATTAACGGTGAATGAATTGATTTTACTGCTTCATATGATGATACTTCTTGTTGTATCACTTCGCAAATCTTATTCAAAAACAGTCCGTAATCATACTGGTGACCGGACCAGTCTCAATTTCCGGCAAAATACTACATTTTCGTCCTAGTTATCATAGTTACACTACTAGTTACCATGGTTACATTACTAGTTACCATAGTTACATTACTAGTTACCATGGTTACACTACTAGTTACCATAGTTACACTACTAGTTACCATAGTTACACTACTAGTTACCATAGTTACACTACTAGTTACCATAGTTACACTACTAGTTACCATAGTTACACTACTAGTTACCATAGCTTCCTACCTCATAGTATGAGTGGAACACGTCGCCCGCTTTGGCAGCCCAACTCTCCATCCTAGTGAGTTGTGATATGTTAAATATTTGTAAAATATGTTGAATATTTCCTCCAAATATGTGAATATTTTGTCATTATTTGGTTAATGATTTAAAATTTATGATGAATATTTCTCGACGTAGTCAATATTATAGATAAATTTGAATGTATCATATTTTATACGTGGTAAAATAGTAAGGTACGTTTAGGGCTTTATAACACTATAACAAATACTTAGTTACAAAGTTAAGTAAAACTATTAAACAAAAAGCAAAAGATAAAAACAACTTAGTCTCTACATCTTAAAGTTAATTCTCAATCTGACACTACACAGTACACAAAATCTTAATTCAAAACTTTCTGAAAATGATATTTAACAAGATTCACTATTCAACTTTTTATAACATAATAGTAATACTGAAGAAAATCAAACTTAAAAATCTATAGTTTAATGTTTAAATGGAGATGTTTTGCTAACAACCAATATTGAACTGATAAATTCATAATTTCATTGTGGATTTAAAAATACCGCTAGAGTTTCAACACAAAGCATTACAACCTTCTACAACACTGGAAAGAAAAAATAGCAAAAAGATAAACAAGCAACATCCCCAAAGTCTGACGGAATAAAACACATAAAAATATAAAAAGATTAACTGAAAATAATGCTCGAAAAGAAAAACAAATGGTTAGCATTTGGATTTTGGAACAGTCCACAACACGAGGGCTGTAAACACGTGGTGTGAATACAGTGCTCTGATTGGTTGGTTTGTGTCAAAAGGAAAACAAATGGTTAACATTTGGAACAGTCGACTATACGAGGGGTATTAGGGAGGGTTTGTTATTGTTACTTTTGTTGGTGTTGTTCTTACTGCTCGTTCTAAGGGAGGGTTTGTTACTGTTACTTTTGTTGGTGTTGTTCTTACTGCTCGTTCTGAGGGAGGGTTTGTTATTGTTACTATTGTTGGTGTTGTTCTTACTGCTCGTTCTAAGGGAGGGTTTGTTATTGTTACTATTGTTGGTGTTGTTCTTACTGCTCGTTCTAAGGGAGGGTTTGTTATTGTTACTTTTGTTGGTGTTGTTCTTACTGCTCGTTCTAAGGGAGGGTTTGTTATTGTTACTATTGTTGGTGTTGTTCGTACTGCTCGTTCTAAGGGAGGGTTTGTTATTGTTACTTTTGTTGGTGTTGTTCTTACTGCTCGTTCTAAGGGAGGGTTTGTTATTGTTACTTTTGTTGGTGTTGTTCTTACTGCTCGTTCTAAGGGAGGGTTTGTTATTGTTACTTTTGTTGGTGTTGTTCTTACTGCTCGTTCTAAGGGAGGGTTTGTTATTGTTACTTTTGTTGGTGTTGTTCTTACTGCTCGTTCTAAGGGAGGGTTTGTTATTGTTACTTTTGTTGGTGTTGTTCTTACTGCTCATTCTAAGGGAGGGTTTGTTACTGTTACTTTTGTTGGTGTTGTTCTTACTGCTCGTTCTGAGGGAGGGTTTGTTATTGTTACTATTGTTGGTGTTGTTCTTACTGCTCGTTCTAAGGGAGGGTTTGTTATTGTTACTTTTGTTGGTGTTGTTCTTACTGCTCGTTCTAAGGGAGGGTTTGTTATTGTTACTTTTGTTGGTGTTGTTCTTACTGCTCGTTCTAAGGGAGGGTTTGTTATTGTTACTTTTGTTGGTGTTGTTCTTACTGCTCGTTCTAAGGGAGGGTTTGTTATTGTTACTTTTGTTGGTGTTGTTCTTACTGCTCGTTCTAAGGGAGGGTTTGTTATTGTTACTTTTGTTGGTGTTGTTCTTACTGCTCGTTCTAAGGGAGGGTTTGTTATTGTTACTTTTGTTGGTGTTGTTCTTACTGCTCGTTCTAAGGGAGGGTTTGTTATTGTTACTTTTGTTGGTGTTGTTCTTACTGCTCGTTCTAAGGGAGGGTTTGTTATTGTTACTTTTGTTGGTGTTGTTCTTACTGCTCGTTCTAAGGGAGGGTTTGTTATTGTTACTTTTGTTGGTGTTGTTCTTACTGCTCGTTCTAAGGGAGGGTTTGTTATTGTTACTTTTGTTGGTGTTGTTCTTACTGCTCGTTCTAAGGGAGGGTTTGTTATTGTTACTTTTGTTGGTGTTGTTCTTACTGCTCGTTCTAAGGGAGGGTTTGTTATTGTTACTTTTGTTGGTGTTGTTCTTACTGCTCGTTCTAAGGGAGGGTTAGTTATTGTTACTTTTGTTGGTGTTGTTCTTACTGCTCGTTCTAAGGGAGGGTTTGTTATTGTTACTTTTGTTGGTGTTGTTCTTACTGCTCGTTCTAAGGGAGGGTTTGTTATTGTTACTTTTGTTGGTGTTGTTCTTACTGCTCGTTCTAAGGGAGGGTTTGTTATTGTTACTTTTGTTGGTGTTGTTTTTACTGCTCGTTCTAAGGGAGGGTTTGTTATTGTTACTATTGTTGGTGTTGTTCTTATTGCTCGTTCTAAGGGAGGGTTTGTTATTGTTACTTTTGTTGGTGTTGTTCTTATTGCTCGTTCTAAGGGAGGGTTTGTTATTGTTACTTTTGTTGGTGTTGTTCTTACTGCTCGTTCTAAGGGAGGGTTTGTTATTGTTACTTTTGTTGGTATTGTTCTTACTGCTCGTTCTAAGGGAGGGTTTGTTATTGTTACTTTTGTTGGTGTTGTTCTTACTGCTCGTTCTAAGGGAGGGTTTGTTATTGTTACTTTTGTTGGTGTTGTTCTTACTGCTCGTTCTAAGGGAGGGTTTGTTATTGTTACTTTTGTTGGTGTTGTTCTTACTGCTCGTTCTAAGGGAGGGTTTGTTATTGTTACTATTGTTGGTGTTGTTCTTACTGCTCGTTCTAAGGGAGGGTTTGTTATTGTTACTTTTGTTGGTGTTGTTCTTACTGCTCGTTCTAAGGGAGGGTTTGTTATTGTTACTTTTGTTGGTGTTGTTCTTACTGCTCGTTCTAAGGGAGGGTTTGTTATTGTTACTTTTGTTGGTGTTGTTCTTATTGCTCGTTCTAAGGGAGGGTTTGTTATTGTTACTTTTGTTGGTGTTGTTCTCACTGCTCGTTCTAAGGGAGGGTTTGTTATTGTTACTTTTGTTGGTGTTGTTCTTACTGCTCGTTCTAAGGGAGGGTTTGTTATTGTTACTTTTGTTGGTGTTGTTCTTACTGCTCGTTCTAAGGGAGGGTTTGTTATTGTTACTTTTGTTGGTGTTGTTCTTACTGCTCGTTCTAAGGGAGGGTTTGTTATTGTTACTTTTGTTGGTGTTGTTCTTACTGCTCGTTCTAAGGGAGGGTTTGTTATTGTTACTTTTGTTGGTGTTGTTCTTACTGCTCGTTCTAAGGGAGGGTTTGTTATTGTTACTTTTGTTGGTGTTGTTCTTACTGCTCGTTCTAAGGGAGGGTTTGTTATTGTTACTTTTGTTGGTGCTGTTCTTACTGCTCGTTCTAAGGGAGGGTTTGTTATTGTTACTTTTGTTGGTGTTGTTCTTACTGCTCGTTCTAAGGGAGGGTTTGTTATTGTTACTTTTGTTGGTGTTGTTCTTACTGCTCGTTCTAAGGGAGGGTTTGTTATTGTTACTATTGTTGGTGTTGTTCTTACTGCTCGTTCTAAGGGAGGGTTTGTTATTGTTACTATTGTTGGTGTTGTTCTTACTGCTCGTTCTAAGGGAGGGTTTGTTATTGTTACTTTTGTTGGTGTTGTTCTTACTGCTCGTTCTAAGGGAGGGTTTGTTATTGTTACTTTTGTTGGTGTTGTTCTTACTGCTCGTTCTAAGGGAGGGTTTGTTATTGTTACTTTTGTTGGTGTTGTTCTTACTGCTCGTTCTAAGGGAGGGTTTGTTATTGTTACTTTTGTTGGTGTTGTTCTTACTGCTCGTTCTAAGGGAGGGTTTGTTATTGTTACTTTTGTTGGTGTTGTTCTTACTGCTCGTTCTAAGGGAGGGTTTGTTATTGTTACTTTTGTTGGTGTTGTTCTTACTGCTCGTTCTAAGGGAGGGTTTGTTATTGTTACTTTTGTTGGTGTTGTTCTTACTGCTCGTTCTAAGGGAGGGTTTGTTATTGTTATTTTTGTTGGTGTTGTTCTTACTGCTCGTTCTAAGGGAGGGTTTGTTATTGTTACTTTTAAACTACATATTAATATGGTATTTAAACAGTTAAATTTTCATGTGTTTATAAAGGCATATTCACTTATGGACCTAACACATATTCAACTCCTGAAAGAGATATTTGTACATGATTTGTAGCTGACTAACCTGTATAACTAAACAAGTATCACACCTAACCTGACTAACCTGATATGTGAGCAGTCCTCTATGTAAGCATAATCAGACGCAACAGTATCTGTGATAACTTGATTTGGGAGGTCACCCTTTGTTCCTGAAGAATTAATAAATTCTGATTATCGTTATTTAAAATACTGGAGGAAAAATCTTACCGGCAATCAATGATGGAAAAACCATGTGGGATGCATGCTAATTATGATGATGATCCTCAATATCAAAAATGTATTAATTAAGTTATGTAACCATAAAATGAACACAAAATTTATTTAGACTGTTACTAAGAGCAATACCCTCGCCTCCTATCATTACTTTTTAATGAAACACTCAACAGGGAAGCACAATATTATAAAATATATCCAAACCTGTGAGGTAGATAGTGCAATCTGGCTGATCCCTTTTCATGGTGACTATCTGATTGGAGTTAAGAACAGGCGTTAAAAATAGGTGTTTGGGGGGGGGGGGGGGGGGGGGGGGGTACATCAGAGAGTAATATTCAAGCTGAAACTTTAGCAATAACAATGTTTCTAATTCTAAAATTGGTAAGTTTTATATCATGATATAATAGCAATAAGTAACAAGTTAGTCCTACCCATTGTTTGGCTTTTTCAAATGTAAGTCTGTCTGTCACGTCATAGCATATAATTGCAGCGTTTGAGTTTCTCGTGTACTGTTCTGATATAGACTCAAATTTCTCTGCACCAGCTGTATCCCAAATTCCCTTAAGATATAATATAAAGTTGAAGAAGATCGGTTAATATACAAAAGCAGGGTGAACCATATTGAAGTAGATCAGGGGAAGTAAAGACAGCTAGGGTCTGTTTAATCGTTCCAAAGTCATATCACTGATAGAAATTCAACTAAATTAACGGCGCAGTATAGTGTCTCTGCACTGAAATTGGAGGCCTGATTTCAGGCATAAGAAACTGGCAGAGTAAAACTGAGTTTGGTAAGTTTTACTAAAACTTACCAACGTCACTGTTTTTCCTTCCACATTAAATCTTTTGGCACAAAATGCAGCTCCGATCGTGTTCTCGTACTCCCCTCTGAAGGCACCTGTAAATTACTTTATTCAATCTTTCTTTTTCTTTTTTAAAGTTGGTATAGTAAAATTACCCCATCGATGCCCATGCCCAGTTGACCAAAATTGAGGAATAAATGAGCCAGAATAATCATTTACCATACAAATTTAATATGATAAATGGTGAGAAGTATTAATACCTTTGAAAATTCGATGAACAAGACAAGTTTTACCAATATTCTCCGAGCCAAGCAGTACTACTTTTGTATCAACTTTCATTTACCTTTCTGGAACATCCTGATAAGTTAGGACAATATAAAAATTAGTTTTCTAGTACAAAACATCAATATTGATTTTTATAGCTAAACTCAATCATAAAATGTAGAGTTTGTACATACGATGGTTATTTGACTAAAATTTCTTTATTCACTTAAATTTGGGTTTTTCTATACTGTTTTGGGACCATTTCAATAAAATGCAAAACAAGAGTAGCACAGTGAGACTGCTGCAATAGCAAAGATTAGTTACATCAGAATGTATTGAACTATACTGAGTAAAAAGGCAAGCCAAATTGGTAAAATAAGACATTTAACAAGCTTACAAAGCACATTATTTGTACGAATATTAACATAATATTACGATAAATACTGACTTAAATTAACAATTATTTTATACTTAAAGTTACATACATAAGAATTCAGATGAATTAGATTACAATATTATGTGCTTCACAAGAAAAAACTTCAAAAATGCACTACATAAGGTAAAACTTCGGATATTTTAAATCTAAAAGATTCCATAAGAATTAGTTTAATCATAACTGAAAAAGTTTGATAAAATGTTATAAAATAATTAAAAATGTATCTGATTTTTCAACAACATCACATACACACTCAAAAGGTGATATGACTTAACAATTGGGCGATTTAATCATTTTATCAACTAATCAAAAATGTCATTCAAACATGAATTCGATTAATGAGACATCAGCAACACTGTACTTGATAATCAAACTCATGAAGAAATTAGGGAAAATTAGGCTGAGTGAGTCCTGTTTAGTACAAAAACAATGTGTTATTCGGGGGGCTATTAATAGTTATTATAACCAGATTTGAGAAACAGAATCAAGTATTATTATTGTTAACAAACTGATTCAATAAGTTAACAACATTTTTTATTAGAGTTTTGTGTCTCTTCCAGCTTGAATGTATCCATCGATCTTTTGTGTACCTTTTTCACGCCACTGATCACCCAATCACGTGCTATCATCTTTACCAGACTTGAAATATTAATATCTTCTTTTGCCGATGTTTCAATGTAGATAGCATTGTACATATCTGCATATTCTTGAAGTTTTTGATCGATATCTCTTTGTTTAGGAAGATCACATTTAGTGCCAACAAGATATAGTTTGCATGATGGGCTATCTTTTATGAATATGTGTGTCCAAAACTTTGCTTTCTCCAAATCAAAATCAGCATCACTCAAAGAACAGCAAATCATAGCTGCACCTGAATTCCGGGTAAACTGTCTTGTTGGTGTCAAAAATTGGTCAGCACCAATGGTATCCCATAAGGACATAGTGACTGGCTCATTTTGTTCCTCGATTGAAATAGGAATTGACTTTACCCCGCAAAAACTAAGAGTACTTTGAGTATTTGGATCAAATGTTCCTTTACAGATTCTGTCAAATAAGCATGTTTTTCCTGTATCTACATGCCCCACTATGACACACTTAAAATCAGGCTTATCTTCCATAAATTCATTGGTACTGAAATGTATTCTGTTATTTTAAATGTAACCTTGAAATTGCGAATGTTGAAAATCAATATTCATACTCCACCCATATCAACAATCTGTAGCATTAACAAGAATTGCGCCCGTTGTTTCGTTTTGGCGGACGCTAGATTTCCATTCCACATTTACTATAAATTTAAGTATAACCTCCAATCAGCTCACTTCAATCTTCATGATAATAATATTGATAAATTATGCATTAAATACAGGAAACACTTGAAATTCATTTCAATTGCCGTAGAACTTAACTTGCATCTGTAATTCAAGAAATTGTAAGCAAAGGTAAACTATACTTGTGTACAAATCAATACACTACGCGTGCCACATACAAATTGGGCTTATAACCTAATATTATACATTACATCGTATACATTAATAGATCACAGGCTATCTATACATCATATCTCCACAAGCAATCCTCGCGCGCGCGCACATTTTTCGTTGCTTGGTAACATACGGAAGGAACACGACATATATTTGACCCACCTAACACAATCTCCAAAATCCACGTTTTTCTGCAAAAACGACCATTCGTAACCTTTCACTATTGCCTTTTTACAAAAGGGTGAAATGGAGAAAATAAAGATATGTCATCAAATAAATATTATTTAACTTTACTTTACTTTTCTTTAAATATCCTATCCACCTGTAGCTTCAGTACTTTCATAAATAACGCTAGACTCACTGGTATCGTCAGCTCATAAAGAATAAATTGATGCAGGGTGTTTCAAGCCTCAAAGATACAAAAACAAATATCATTTTTAATCTTTGTTGTACTCACAAACATGATACAGGTGTTGTTTGGTTTAAGACTTGAGAGTTGAAGCAATAACAAGTATTCGAGTTTTACCTGGCCTGGCCATGGGTTGAGCTGTATGCATGCAATATTCAATCATCCAGTACTGTATAGTACTGGCTGTTCACAATTTTAATACCCAATAGTATTCAAGATTACATATAAAACACATATGTTACCAACATCTTCTTTTAATCAAATCGTTTACAAATCTAGTTGCCTTTGGAATTCATTCCGTCAGATGTTGGCACTGAACGACCTTGAAATCACTCATGGTGTATTCAAATCAAAGGTAAAAAAAGTCATTCTCTCGTCTCAGGGTAAAGGTGACAAGAATACCTGGGCCCCTTTGGCAAACTTTCTGAACTCAGGCAGCTTGAACGACTAAATTTGAAAAAGTAAAACTTCTTGTCTGAATGAACTATTAGAACCTCAAGAAGCTGATCCGCATGTCTCCGCTACTAAAATGTTTAATGAGCTCAATCACTCATCACTTAACAGTTTAATCTTCAAAGTGAGTTGTACAATCTAGGTTGTTTTAAGTAGCTGTTGATAGTGTAAAACAGGAGTGACTTGATCGTTTTCATAACTTCGATTTACAATTTGTACCATAATAAAACTAGCACTGCCATGGGGTTCAAAAAGGGTCATTGTAAGCCTCCAGCGTAATGGTCCTAAGTCTCTGCCCCATGTGGTGCCTGTCAGCATCAGCTAACAGAATAGCCCTAACATAACGATCAAGCCACAAATTAGGTTCTATAATGATTTAATATTGTTGAATAAAGAGATTTGAATATAATATTTGTTTTATTCTGAAATCTACACAGTAAAAATTTACATTAAGTTAAAATCGCTGAAGCTAATCGATATTCTGCATCCCACATAATAATAATAATAATTAAAAAAAGTTAAATTTATTACCAATTTTTTAATCAATATATATCATAAATTCTAATACTGGATTACTGCGCATCCAATTGGATTGTGGATGTGGGAAAACAAGTGATCTTGACCACCTTCTCACCTGTAAGTTAGGGGGCTACGTGATAATGACCCACAACAACATCAGAGACACATTGGCAAATCTCCTTCGTGAGGTATGTCATGATGTGAAAGTCGAACCCCAGCTACAGAAGGTAAATGAGGGTGACTGCCTCAACCCCAAGACTATAACAGGTGACCAAGCTCGGCTTGACGTATCTGCTAGAGGAGTTTGGACTCCATTTGATAAGACCTTTCTTGACATAAGGGTTTCACACCCCAATTGCTTATCAAACAGGACCAAAACTCTTCAAGAAGTATACGAAGAGAACGAGAAGGAGAAGAAGGATGAGTACTTGGAGAGAGTGTTGAACGTAGAGAAGGCCACTTTCACCCCGGCTGTATTTCTCACAACTGGAGGCATGTCCAAAGAATGTAAGCGATTTGTAAATAGATTAGCAGACCTCATCGCCAGGAAAAGGAAAGAGAGGTATTGCGATGTGGTAAGACATGTGAGGACAAGAATAAGATTCGCAATGTTAAGAACCACACTCATTGCTCTACGAGGGTACAGAGGGAAAAAAATTGACAGCAAATATGAGAAACCACTATCAGAAGTCTCTTATAACCTCATCCCTGCCCCTATGATGAAGTAGATGTGTATATATTTGATTTTTGATATTTCATATTATATAATACTGCCGTTTTCTCAGAAAAGGCAGTAAGTCCATATTTGCCATTTCGAGATATTGCGACTTTTGCGTTTATGGTTTTTTCTCCGCTTACTTTTTGCGTAAGATCAAAAGTAAACATGTTGAGTTATCAATAATTAGTCAAATTTTAATTTGTCAAAAAAATTAAAGCTTTGAGCCGTCCATAAGCTTAGATATAACCATTTTTATGCCAAATAATCGAGCTTATTTTTCATACTGGATGGACTTACTGCCTTTTCTGAGAAAACTTGGACTTACTTCCTTTTCTGAGAAAAATCTCTGTTCAATATTTTTCTGAGAAGGAAGTAAGTCCAAGCTTTTTACTAAATATTTGAGGTTTGGATCTATGTATTTTGGATTATATTGTAAAATATAAACAATTAGGTAAATCTAAATTGCTCCATATGATATAATAAATGTTTTTGAATAGTAGTATGCCCTTATTTAGGCAAACTCGCCAATTTTGAAAGATTTCAGTGCATTAAATGATATCTTATCGATATTTTGATGAAAATGAACTTGATCTAAAAGATATACCTAAACTAAACATTCTCTGCGATTATAACAGCTCAATAACTGCTCCAATGTTTATGTTTTGCAAATAAAATACATCCGGCGTTTTTGAAAATCGGCCACCAAATTTTTTTTGAGGCCTAAATGAAAATTTTGATCACTTAAGTAAAGTTGAAATGTAATTATACATCGATTCTGAAAATTTCAAGCGAAAATATCAATCGGCAGTAAAGTTATGTTCTTTTTGGGAAATCGCTTTCTAAAATTCCGCTTTTAGCATGCTTTTATAGGAAGTAAGTCCAGCTACTTCTTCCTATCACAGATAATTTATCTCAGAAAAGGCAGTAAGTCCACGGAATTACTTCCTTATCTCAGAAGATTTTCAAGATTTTCTCAGAAAAGGCAGTAAGTCCGGACTTACGTCCTTCTCTCAGAAAATAATTGGCCAAAACCGAACATAATGTTTCTCAACTGGGACTTACTTCCTTAGAAATTGCATGCAACTATGTTTCTATACATTAATATGTAGCTCATGTTGTAGAGAATTTTCTACTGAAAATTTTGATACCAATATTGTCATATTTCGAAAAATTGGACTTACTGCCTTTTCTGAGAAAACGGCAGAATATTGGTAGCAGTGGATAATTTCCGTTACCTCTGTATTGTGCTCTGCCAATTGCAACACTTGAATTAATTTATTGTATATATACTGTTTGACACACTTTTCCATTACTGCGCAGAATGTCTTAAACTATAATTTTGTTGTAACTGATAATCTATTAACTTTCAAAGTTGAATTTTAAATAAGTATGAAATGCCCATGGCCATCATAGTTAGGGTAAAAGATTATTCTTAAATTATAAAATTGAGAAGGTTGCTCTATGACTAAAAATTTAAAATGTTAGCAAAATCTATCTAATTTTTAAACAGTTGGTTACAGTTTGTGACAGTACTGTCAAACACTATACACATAATATAACAATAACCCTATATAAAAATTCAATATAAAAATTCAATATAAAAATTCAATAAAAATCTTTTTTAATCTTTTTTTTTTTTTTAATTTAAAAAAAAATCTTAGTAGATTTTATAAAAACCCGTCAAGTAGTATAAAAGTAGCCAATTAAAAAATCAAACAATATACACATAATATAGCAATGACCCTATATAAAAATTCAATATAAAAATTCAGTAAAAATCTTAATAAATTTAATTTTTTTAAAGTCGCCAATTCAATTTGTTGGCTCTAAATTTATATTTAAATCTGATATTTTAACTGCACTACTACTTTTTATTTCTCTTTCTCCTCTGAAAGCAATAATTGTTGCTCTCAATAAGTCAAATCGTATTCTTTGTTTGATAAATGTCATTGCCTCACTGTAACTTTGACGTGATTTTCTAAATAGTTTATTATTAAAGTATAGTTAATTTATATTGTAAAGTGATTTATTTATTTCGGAGCTTATATGGTTATTAATTGACGATGTCAATTCATCACAGCTCGGCGAGGCACAGTAGCGCATTTCGCCGATCTAGCGAGAAGCATAATTAATTGAGTGCGAGAAGCATAATTAAGAAAACAACAATTTCAAGAAAACAACAATTTGTTTGCGCGGCGCGGCACAGTAACGCATCGCGCTACAAATATAATTACTGGTTACATGACATAGTTTGTAATAGTATTAAAAGGTTAGTTCATCGTTCGCGTTGTATGCTTATTATTATCAATCCGATCAATGCTTAGTAATGTGAATAAATTATGGCCTTTTTCACATACATGATTAAAAACCTTTATTTATTAATTAATTGTTTATTAATGTTGTTTGTACATTTTTATAAATTTATTGATTTTTATCAACTTTGTCCACAGGGGGGTCTGAAACCAAGTTTTCGATCAAATGCTGCCATTTGTAGTCAAACGTCGCCAACAGTTGCTCTCGTCCAATGAAATCGCTGCATTTTGCAAGTTAGTATGCATAATTGAATTACATATATTCATATGCGGAGCTTGGCTTACATAATGCAGCGATTTCATTGGACGAGAGCAACTTTTGGCAACGTTTGACTACACATGGCAGCGTTTGATCGAAAACCTGGTTTCAGCTCCCCCTGTGTGTCAGATTACAAGGGCTTTGAAAAAAAAAATACCGACCTGCACACCAAGCTGCATTTTGTTGTATCACGTCGTAACCCCCACTGTCGTGTCACTATAGAGTTTCAACGATACAGGGGGATCCGCGCACTCGTACGTGCGCGGCGGGTCATACAATGTATGACAAGCATTTTGGTTGCTAAGTAATATTTGAAATACTTTGTTGGTTTTATTTAGTGGTCAATTAATTTACTATAACAGTCAACATGTAAACTCATGGCTAAGTGAATAATACTGAATGATACAATTATGACAAAATTTTTATGTTTTAGCTGAAATGAAACTTATATTTTATTCGTGCCGCGCATATTTTCGCCAATGTACAACCATATATAATCAAAATCGAGCGCTTAAGCAAAATCTGTCTTTCAGTGTTATTGTTGCATTTCAACACATCTTGTGCCATCTAATTATAGCTTCTACGTGTAATACAATTACTAGCCATGTTTTCTTGTGTCTTCATCGATGTGAAGTTATCAAGAAAACAACTTATACTTACAGCTATACTAACAACTTATACTTATCTTCGCCATGCTTTATCGTGATTGGCTGATAATGAATAGGTTTTCGTGAATTTTGAACAATTACACTGTTAGAGATTTAGGATTCTAAGGGATTAGAGAAACAAAATTATCGAAAGGGGTTGTTGCCATTTTTAATTAATGAGAGGCGGCAGGCTAAATTGGGCCTAATTTGGACCAAATATGGGCGTGGCTGCCCCGCGGGCACCGTTTGGCGGTTGGGGTCGGGGACCCGCTCAAAAGTTCGGTCACCGGTCCTAGTTTGTTGGTAACTGCTATCTCGAAACCAAGTTTCACAAAAAAATCGAGTGTTCTGACAGCTACTTTCAGGCTTCCCCATGCATCAAATAATATTTCTAACGAAATCAGAGATTAGAGCAAAGTTATGAGCTTCACATCTCCAATTGAGTGTCAGGTACTTGCTTGTGCATCGATTTTACAAGTCTAGGAATTGTGATAATTTATAATTTCATGAGCTATCATCTTTTGAATCCCTGTAAACTGATGTAGGTGAATTTCAAAACGCTGCTCATTGGTCTACATTAAGGGCAAAAATGCGATTTTAGGTCGAAATATCAAAATGTTTTGTCTAAATCCAAATTCCTAGCAGTTTCGGGGCACAGGAACGTGACCTTTAGAAAAATTTGTTGCTTTCAGTTCGATGATATCTAGCAAGAAGAAATGAAATTTGTAGCATGATTTTGTTTTCCTCATTTTATAACAGCAAACAAAATACAAATTAAATCAGATAGGCTCAAGTTAATTAATTCATAGAAGAGCCCATATAATTGAGCAAACCCTGACTGATTCTGGTGTCAAACTTACGGTTTCTTTCAGACAATAGATTATGTCACTGTGATATGGGACTCTCTTTCGAGGAGACAGTTCAACACTCTCCTGTTTTCAAGACTGCAGTACAGAGAGCAGAGGTAACATATCATTATAGTTTAATTGTTATATTCAATTTATGATAGTAAAAACTTATACTCATTTCTTAGCAGTGTTCAATCAGAACATCCCTGAAATGTACTTGAATATTAGTTAAGGACTGTAAACTTGTGCTTGGAAAGATATTGGTAACACTAATTGATTGAAATAAATTTTCGTGCACATACAGAATGAATGGTTAATAATTTAATATATATGTAGACCAAGCTCTGTGCACGGGATGCTTCCTGGAAGAATCCAGTTCTTTTAGCGGGGCACCCTACCTAAAGCCAAATTGAGATATAATAATCATATTCCTAGAGAAATAATCAGAAATCGAATACCAATCAAATAATATGATATATATGAGTAGTAACCATATTTACTATGCAAAATGCCCCAACCACATAGTGTAAATTTATATAGAATTCAAATTCCATATCATCATTAAACCTCAATACCTAGTCAATATAATAGCCCAAGCAAAATTAAATAACTTCTTATATACCTTACTGTCATACTACAAATTAATTAAACATTTGAAATCTGTTGACCAGAGAATAAATTTCTAAGCCTAATGCAAGTGAAATAATTTAGATGCAATAATGAATGCCTAATGTGAGTATCATTTGTCAATATCCTTGTAAAAAAGTCTGTACAAGAGATATGAGTAACTAATATAGAAGAAAAAACAGGAAGTTGTCGTCTGTTGTAAAATAAATAAAATATCTAGAATATAAATTAGAATATAAAATAACATTCAGTCAATGTGTCGTCAATAAACTGTACAATTATCAAATGTTAAAACTGGGTGATACAGTCACCAAAAAAAAAAATACTAAGTATGATAAGTTAATAAATTAAATGTGGTCTATAAAACTACCACTAAGTATAATAGGTCAATAAATTAAAAGTGGTTTATAAAACTACCACTGTGGGAACCCCTTCTCCAGTTAAAACATGTCAGTCATGTGCAAAATCAATCAGAATGGTAAGGTGGTAAAAAAGGGAATATCTTTTCGATACATCAATTATATATGCCTCAGATTTAAAAGAATTAGAAGTTACTTAGTTATCGGCGACTATGATTGCAGTGTAAAATTTGTCATATGAATTGTCGACGGTATAATTAGGGTCTGTTGTTATAGATGATAGTAGCTGTTTCTTATACGAATCACTAAAGCTTTTAACATCGGGCAGATTTCGTAGATCTGTTGGAACATTATTCCAACATTTTGCCCCCAAGTATTGAAAGTTTTTATGTGATGTTGATCTATTGACATAAAGGTTGCAGCTTTCGCCGCTCCTACTACCTCCTGATATGTAACTAAATTTGTTCATAAAGTTTGTAGGACAATTGTCATGGATGATTCTAAACATATAATTTGACAGATGGAGTTGTCGTCTAAGATGGAGTGGTAACCATTTCATGTCTCTATAAACATTAAGGCTGCTCTCTGTTTTTGGAACGTTGAGAGCTATTTTGGCTACCTTTTTGTACAGAGTGTCAAGTTCAGCAAGTTTTGTCTTGCCAGCTCTACAATAGATCGTGTCTAAATAATCGAATTGTGGCAACATGAGTGCATTGGCAAACATTTTCCTATATTTAATGGGTAGCAGTGCTTTACTTCTATACGGACACGTTCATTTGAGTTTGAGGATATTGGTAAACAAAAATAATAGCGTTTTTGACGATAGTGGCTTAATTTTGACATCTATTAACCTAGCACGTTCAGAAGTTCTGAACATTAGCCACGTAACCCATACTCCCATATGCACCGCTCAGAAAGAAAATCTATTGTTGTTAGGCACTATAATGTTTCAAATGTCACATTTTGTGTGACTTAGTTAACTGCATTTGTCTAATTATCATTCCTTGGTCTGAAATATAGTAAATTAGGTCAATCTAACAATTATGATACAACATTGGTTAAAGGGCACGGATCGAACGGTTACAAGGCAATATTTAGGTAACTTTGTCACACTCATGATACCATACCTCTATTCTACTGTGAGGTGTCCTAAAAACCCTTTCAACTCATTATTTGATGGTTGCTCTACCAATCATAACCCTAAAATATGTTGTTTTGAATAGTTAGCTAATACAGGCACTTGGTTATTGGGAAATGAGGTTAATTCTGTCACAATATATGAAATTTAAAATTTTGGGCGAATTATTTATATCTGATTTTGGTTTGAAAGGCGGGAAAATTTTATATGATGACAATGTAGTTGATGCAAGTTAAGATCAGTTGATGTTTACATTGTCACAAAAAATTAAACGAAATCGTAAATAGATTAAAAACAATGGTTATAGAATGAAATAGTCTCTAATAATAACTCTTATAATAACTGATGTGACAAAGTAAACATGTCTTGCCCCTATTTTGAAGAACTATACCTCTATTAGAATACTATGTAACCTTATCATCAACAAAATTTCGATAAACTAGTTATTTTGCCAGCAAGGAGCTAACAGAGTTATAATAATTTTTTGTGACGAAATTACCCTATTTTTGACCATGTAGCGGTAGTTTATTTGTGACACTGTTAACATATTGCCACCTGATAATGATTTATGTGACTGGTGCATGGTACTAGCAGTGTTGTTTGATCCATAGTACGTATAATATAAGGGGTTTAAGCTGGTATGTCATTATTTGTTCAATTTCACACATGTTCAGATATCATCAAGATTATGTGACAAAATAAGCTTGGTTGTGCCTTCTGTGTTTTAATTCCTTACGACTATATGATATAATAACAATTCCCAGCACTTCCAGGCCATCAAATAAACTTACACTACTCAGCATTGCTTATCAGGGTGCCCTAAACGTTCATCACATATTTTCTTTAATGTGTGACAGAGTAAACCTGAATGCACCATATAACGAAAAAAGTCGTCAAATATGTAGGTAATGGTCATATGTACCCATCCAATCAACTGGACACTCAAAAATTTGGTCAAAAACGGCAGCAAGGGGTCCATATTTACTCCGTCACATGTTTATAGTGTGACAATGTAACCATTTCCGTGCCGGCCGTATTTAAGCGATATCTTATCACCTGATTAAGATATCGTTATGTGACAAAGTTAGCCTAGAGGATGAGACGATTATCCTAACCATCAAGGGTTTAAGTAATTCAATAGTGTAACAAAGTCAACTACACTGTGCCTTTTAATAGGGTCACTTATATTTACCAATATCCTCAAACTCAAATGAACGTGTCCATACATGGCACCAATTCTCTTCATGACCTTCCTAATAATATAATCTACATGGCTTTTGAAGTTTAATTTACTATCTAGAATGAGGCCAAGATATTTTGTCTCTTTGCACTCCTTGATTGTGAAAGTTACCTCATTACAATCAATGGTTATTTCATCATGTTGGTCAACAGAATCAAACAATAGGAATTCAGTCTTCTTTTCATTGAGTGATAATTTATTAACACTGAGCCATTTAAAGATTGTCATAAGTTCTATTTTCATGTTTATAAATGTGCTTCTGCAGGTTTGATCAAAGAATAGTGCACCATCATCTGCAAATAGAAAGGGCTTAGATAGGTTACAGGCATAAATGATGTCATTTATGAAGATACTAAATAATATAGGCCCAATGATGCTTCCTTGTGGTACACCACTCAGAACTTCTAAAAATGAGCTTAGATTGCCATTGATCCTAGTGCATTGATATCTACAAGATAAGAAGTTCTTAAACCAGGTTAAAGCAATGCCACCAATTCCATAATATGCCAATTTTTGAAGCAATATTTCATGATTCACTGTGTCAAAGGCCTTCTTAAGATCAAGAAAGATGATTCCTGGTTTATAAGACTTAGATTTACTCATATATATTTCGTCCATCAGATCGTACATCAGATAAGTTGTGGAGTGATTTTTCCGAAAGCCATATTAATGCAAGACTATGATAAATAAATGAATTTAACTTTAAGATCGTTTACCAATTATGATCAAATTATTTTATCGATAAAGTTTCTAGAGTTCATTCTTCATTTCTTTTCTCTTTCTTTTCTTCTTCATTTCTTTTCTCTTTTCTTTTTTTTTTTTTTCTCATTTGTTTGATTAAAATGTTTGCTTTATTGATTCTTTTTCAGAATGAAATTACCGGCCAGGAGACCCGTCTCAACAGATTATTGTCATTACTCGTCAAGAGGGAGGAGCAGACTAGACAGATTCTAGAAACAAGCCGGCTTGTTAATTTAGAGGTACTATTTATAGGGAATATTTTAAGCAGATGTACATTGTACTAGTACCTGTTATTGTTCTTTTAATTTTGTGTCTTAATCAGCAGTCTAAATTATCTTTGCTAATTAACTAAGCTATTGAGCAAATTTATTACAGTTAAAAGCTTGTTATTTACAATCAGATTGAAATAAGGCTTTCTGGAGTTCTGACCAACCCATTCCGTCCCACTCGAGTTTTTTTCCAAATTGAGTCTCACTGCTATTTTTAATTCTGTGAAGCTTTACTGTAGACTAATGTTGGATCAATTTCAGTTTGAACAACTAATGGTGACCTCAACTACACCTCTAAAAGACACACTAAAGAAGTACACCTCTGCGCTGCAGCACTGGGAAGAGAGTAAAGAGCGCCACAATGAACAGATCAGAATGGTCCTCATCGACCCTCTAGTGGACTTTATGCAAACTGACTTCAAGTAAGTTTGTTCCTTCAAATTGCTGTATACTAAGTGAAACAACGTGTCAACTGTCAGTGACCTTGTTACTTGGCCTTGTTACTACTTATACATAATAACTAATACAGAACGCTAAGACTACGTCATAATAAACAATATTGAAGTCCATCTGAGGCTAATAATTTATCATGTTTTATAGTTTGATTAAACATCCTGCTGGGCAGTTTTAGGACTTCCCAACGAAATCTCAGCATTAATTCCTCTATCTACCAGTTTTAAACTCGATGTACTAGAACTGTTTCTCGCTGTTATGTTCACATTCCTGGCCGTCATGCGCTGTGGTTGAGAGCTGCTTCTATTCAGCAGCCGGCAGATAATTGTGCTTACATTACTGTCATAAAGTAATGGATTTATAACAGAGTTTAATGGCAAGATCACTGATGAAAAGAACGGATACCAGTTTGTTGCATCAATTGTGCCACTGAAATGAAGAATGGTCGCCACTGTGAATGGAGCCCAGCACAAAAAGTCTGTTATGATCATTAATGCTATCTTTTTGTGAAGCAATCCTTGTTTGGTTGTCTGGTTTTTATTCGTATTGCATCTTGAACTTGATGACTTGGACTTCCAGTAAATCCAGATGTAGCAGTAGCAAATAATGAAGAAGCAGCATAGATTTACACCAAGTAAAGTCCAGGTGTATACGTTTTGGGGGTCATCTGATGTAACGAAATATTTGAAGAGACAAGTCCCGTGGTTCCCATAAAAGTTGAGAGGTTTATGTCGCAGTCCAGTGTAGTCGTTTGAAAACATCTCCTCAATAAGGTTTCTAATTTGTCCCCATGAGAAGTTGAAATTATCTGGTTTTTTAATCTTGTCATGATAATATGCACTAATGATGGAGATGTATTTACTCTTGTCAGGAGCCCCGATAAAGAGCATACTATCAAGATACACCCATCCATTGACAAAGAAGTCCTCAAAGCTGCTAGCCAGGGGCACTACTGCAATAACCACTGGTATCAATAGAATACAACTAACAGTGACGGTTCCCACAACCAGCATTTTCCTGCTGAACGTGTAGTTTGGAATAGCAGCTCTAACACAAACCATTCTGACGATACTGAGGATGGTCATCGCAAACAGTGCCAACTGTCCCCCAATTGTACTGAGGACACCAAATAACTGGCAGTAGGAGCTCGCTAACCATTCAAAACGCTTCTTGCAATAAGTCACTTTATAGACCGCACTCGCAATGGATATTCCTATGAGATATACGCCAATGAGAAAGTCTCCGATTACTATTAGCATGACTAGAACCAGGTTAACGATTCTTAAATTCGACGTTGCTTGTTTGAACTGATAAAATATTGAGGCCAAAGTTCCGATATTCAACAGTGTTGCTAGTATACCGATGATCCACGTAAATATTGAAAGAAACAGCCCATCTATGATCTTCTCCTTTCCTCTGCAATTGTCATTACACTCATCAGTAAAATCTACACAGTCCAGGTTTCCGTCACACACTCTCCACAGTGGGATGTACTCTGAGACTCCGTCTGTTCCATTACATCTAAAATGGTTGATGCAGGCAGATTCGTCCGAGTAATCTCCACAATCATTTTGTAAATTACATACTTTATCATAACTTATGCACTTGCCATTTTTGCAAGGAAACACCGAATTGTCGTATTCACCGTCTTTCCCCTTGAACGCGATAGTGAGATTCCCTTTACCAGACAAGGTAAATAGTCTATTTTCCATGTTAGCGCATGAGTTAAACTTCAAACTTCTTCTTAAAACACAAGACGCAGTGTCTTCAGAGCATTGTCCGCTGCAGCTGTAGTACACATACAACTCCCCAAATGTGTATCTGCAATCCGTTTTGCTCAAGTAAGGCAGCATAATCTTCTTCTCTTGAACACCAAACGCTTTTTCGGCTGATTCTATCTGTACCTCCCCACAGATGGTTTTTGTATCGAGAATTTGTCCCTTAGTCTCAGGATATTTGCCATTCCCTTTAAACAAAATGGATGTGTTGGGTGTCCATGGAATTGTGTTTTAAACCTGGTTTCACCCATACGAGCTGCTTTGCAAATTTTGTTTTCCATTATACACGTTTCTTGTTGGTCACACAGTGTATTGTGGGTTATAAAACGCTTTTCATCCGGGCACAAAAGGACTTCTTTGCACGAGTCGCTCTTCTTGATAAATCTCGATGTCATTTCTTTGCCACATTTCTTCCACCTATCTTCATCTTCATCTTTACCATCAACACAGTCTTCCAAACCATCTCCTACCCACTCAAGAAGAATAGGCAGTGATGTAGTTCCATAGGAATACCTCCGAACACACGAGACATTAGTGAGCCCCCTGCAGATCCTATAGTCCTCATCCCCCGCCCTGGGACAATCAGCCACCCCGTCACACACTTGGTGCTTGTGTACTCTACATTCCCGTTCAGGGTACAAACAAGTTGAATCCAGCCTGTTGTCACACAGTCCCAGGTCCTTGCCCCTGCAGATTACATACTTCGACACTGTTGATTCAGTGCCGTTAATTTGACATTTCAGTGGGGCAATGTTTGTGTCACTGCAGTCGATCTGGTCGAGTCCGTCCACACAGTCACCATTACTGGCATCTTCATCGTCCTTTGGGACACTACACACAGAGTCATTCCTCAGAAGCCTGACACTACTTTCCACTGCACCTCCATGAAGCAGACTAAAGCCCTGGTGTCTACCATCTGTCTTACAGTACCGTCCTAGTACCGTACAGTTCACTTCATCTGAACCGTCATCAGTTTCGTTTATACCATTACAGATTCTATTGGGCGGCAGGTACCAATTTTGGCCATAGAATGATGTATGGAACATGCCGTACCTGTAGCCATCACACATCGCCTCATCGTCACACTTCAAGCAGTCACACACGCCATCACACACGCTGCCACGTGGGATATCGAAGTTTTGTTGCTGCAAACATTTGTAATTATCATCGTCACAATCCTGTTCATCTATCCCAGTATTCTCGCAGTTCAGAACACCATTGCAGTTGAACCTCTGCTTGTTCTTGTACCCGCCACTGACATCAAAAGGTCCGTTTTTACAGACATAGTACCCACACACAGGTGTCTGGCCACTGATTTGGTAGGTGCCACAACTTTCTGGCACGTGGCCACAGGTTTGGTAAAACCCGGGGTCGTCTGAACATGCTCCAATGTAGCTTTGTCTGTAGCAATCCTCCTGCAGTCCAAGAACCTGGGTAAAAGTACCTACCTCATAAATATGTACAAATGAAAAGTGTACTGTAACATCAACATTCAACAATTACATATAGTACATGCCATAGTACATACCATCTTTTTAATTAAATAAATAATAATTATTTTAGTCTCTTGAGTCTTGACACCACTTTAGGGTTATGCGGGTTCCTGCTAGTAACTTTAAACTACATAGCTATTAGCTAAGCATCTTTTTACCCTCACAATGAGCGGAAAAGTAAAAGTACCTACCTCATAATACTGCGTCTCAGTGTTAGGACACTGGTAAACGGTAGTGTTAAAATCTTGGTTCGTACATTTTACTTTCAGGAACCGTCCCACTTCTTGAATCGAGCAACCACCTGGAATTTATATATATAATGGGGTGCCATATTATGTTTTCGACATCGCGTTATGAGAAAATTACTAAAAGTTGTCCAGAACTCGTAGTTAATGATTGAAAGCTGGGCGGTTCTAATGACCAAATACCAATTAAAACATATAAAATAATAGTGAATAATAATCCCTCTGTTCAGGGCACTGAACTATATGGTTCATGTTTAGTATAGACTCACTCCAACACCTCAATAGCCTAAAATGAAATCAAACCAAAATATTGCGAAAACTATAATATAGAAATATAGTTTGTGTGCTCATATGGAGCGAAAACAAGAAAAGCTAATAGTTATCTGAGAAACAAGTTGCTCACCAACTGACGAGGGGTGAACGGTAAAGAAAGAGTTAGCTGTGTCAAGTAGAATGAATAATACCTGCAACCAACATTCTGCACAGCACGTCTAGATGTTCATTTCTTATCACTGATAATTAATGTTATAATTTAGCAATTGTTATCGATTGAGATTTACCCGCAAGTCGGAAGGTATGAATTATAAGAAATCACCGAAACGAAATAGAAATTTCACAAAATATTACAAGTTTGCAACGTTTAACCCACATAAAACAGGGTGCCCCTATTGGTTATGTCATGTAGTAAATCACAATGTGAAGACATGAGAGTTTATGTACACAATCTATTTCTGTATAAACTTCATACAATAGACATGATATTTCTCAAGGTCTTGTAATTTCCGCGGATAATGTCAGGACTCAGAACCACAACAGTTTCCTAGACCTCAAATTAGCCCATATATTACCAATTATGTTAGATGATAGACATTATCATGAATAATGTGTTGTCGCGAATAATGCGTCATCATAAAAATATGTTCTACCAAGGAATCTTGGGAAGAATGTAGATTGTAGATATTTGATCTATAAATGTTAAGATTTTCATTAAAAAAATTAACAAGTAAGAAACATTCATAACTTTAAGTCATACTTACAATTTATTACGTGTATAATAAATTATACATAATAATTCATCAACAACTTGGTATGGTCAGAAGAAATGGCCATATTGTCATTGATCAGAAACGTCGCCGGGCGCTTTACCTCTCCCTGGTTCGTAGCCAATTCGAAAATTGCTCCATAATCTGGCGCCCTTGTAATAAATCACTTAGTGATAAATTAGAAAGTCTCCAAAAGAGAGCTATTAAATGGATTCTGTCTGAAGAGGGCCGCAGTTATCCACCTGAGCAGTATGTCAAAAAGTGCAAGCTTGTCGACATTCTCCCTTTGTCTCAAAAGTTTGACTTGAATGATCTTATTTTTTTCCACAAAGTTCTGAACAATTTAATTCCTGTATCGCTGCCTCACTATCTCTCTTTATATCAGGGGACTTCTCGACTAAGACGTTGCCACCTCGACAGTCTGTCTATTGTGTCATCAATTTTACCTAAGTAAAGGAGCATCTGATCTGCAGCAAACCCCAAATAAACCCCTCACTCCCCAGGAAACTAGAGTTACGGAAGCAACAATACCACACTGCAGTAAAGGAGCATCTGGTCTGCAGTAAACCCCAAATAAAACCCCCCACTCCCCAGGAAACTAGAGTTACGGAAGCAACAATACCACACTGCAGTAAAGGAGCATCTGGTCCGTAGCAAACCCCAAATAAAACCCCTCACTCCCCAGGAAACTAGAGTTACGGAAGCAACAATACCACACTGCAGTAAAGGAGCATCTGATCTGCAACAAACCCCAAATAAAACCCCTCACTCCCCAGGAAACTAGAGTTACGGAAGCAACAATACCACACTGCAGTAAAGAGCATCTGATCTGCAGCAAACCCCAAATAAAACCCCTCACTCCCCAGGAAACTAGAGTTACGGAAGCAACAATACCACACTGCAGTAAAGGAGCATCTGATCTGCAGCAAACCCCAAATAAAACCCCTCACTCCCCAGGAAACTAGAGTTACGGAAGCAACAATACCACACTGCAGTAAAGCAGCATCTGATCTGCAGCAAACCCCAAATAAAACCCCTCACTCCCCAGGAAACTAGAGTTACGGAAGCAACAATACCACACTGCAGTAAAGGAGCATCTGGTCTGCAGCAAACCCCAAATAAAACCCCTCACTCCCCAGGAAACTAGAGTTACGGAAGCAACAATACCACACTGCAGTAAAGGAGCATCTGGTCTGCAGCAAACCCCAAATAAAACCCCTCACTCACTCCCCAGGAAACTAGAGTTACGGAAGCAACAATACCACACTGCAGTAAAGGAGCATCTGGTCTACAGCAAACCCCAAATAAAACCCCTCTCTCCCCAGGAAACTAGAGTTACGGAAGCAACAATACCACACTGCAGTAAAGCAGCATCTGATCTGCAGCAAACCCCAAATAAAACCCCTCACTCCCCAGGAAACTAGAGTTACGGAAGCAACAATACCAAACTGCAGTTAAGGAGCATCTGGTCTGCAGCAAACCCCAAATAAAACCCCTCACTCCCCAGGAAACTAGAGTTACGGAAGCAACAATACCACACTGCAGTAAAGGAGCATATGATCTGCAGCAAACCCCAAATAAACCCCCCACTCCCCAGGAAACTAGAGTTACGGAAGCAACAATACCACACTGCAGTAAAGGAGCATCTGATCTGCAGCAAACCCCAAATAAAACCCCTCACTCCCCAGGAAACTAGAGTTACGGAAGCAACAATACCACACTGCAGTAAAGGAGCATCTCATCTGCAGCAAACCCCAAATAAAACCCCTCACTCCCCAGGAAACTAGAGTTACGGAAGCAACAATACCACACTGCAGTAAAGGAGCATCTGGTCTGCAGCAAACCCCAAATAAAACCCCTCACTCCCCAGGAAACTAGAGTTACGGAAGCAACAATACCACACTGCAGTAAAGGAGCATATGATCTGCAGCAAACCCCAAATAAAACCCCTCACTCCCCAGGAAACTAGAGTTACGGAAGCAACAATACCACACTGCAGTAAAGGAGCATCTCATCTGTAGCAAACCCCAAATAAAACCCCTCACTCCCCAGGAAACTAGAGTTACGGAAGCAACAATACCACACTGCAGTAAAGGAGCATCTGGTCTGTAGCAAACCCCAAATAAAACCCCTCACTCCCCAGGAAACTAGAGTTACGGAAGCAACAATACCACACTGCAGTAAAGGAGCATCTGATCTGCAGCAAACCCCAAATAAAACCCCTCACTCCCCAGGAAACTAGAGTTACGGAAGCAACAATACCACACTGCAGTAAAGGAGCATCTGATCTGCAGCAAACCCCAAATAAAACCCCTCACTCCCCAGGAAACTAGAGTTACGGAAGCAACAATACCACACTGCAGTAAAGGAGCATTTCATCTGCAGCAAACCCCAAATAAAACCCCTCACTCCCCAGGAAACTAGAGTTACGGAAGCAACAATACCACACTGCAGTAAAGGAGCATCTGATCTGCAGCAAACCCCAAATAAAACCCCTCACTCCCCAGGAAACTATAGTTAAGGAAGCAACAATACCACACTGCAGTAAAGGAGCATCTGATCTGCAGCAAACCCCAAATAAACCCCTCACTCCCCAGGAAACTAGAGTTACGGAAGCAACAATACCACACTGCAGTAAAGCAGCATCTGATCTGCAGCAAACCCCAAATAAAACCCCTCACTCCCCAGGAAACTAGAGTTACGGAAGCAACAATACCACACTGCAGTAAAGGAGCATCTGATCGGCAACAAACCCCAAATAAAACCCCTCACTCCCCAGGAAACTAGAGTTACGGAAGCAACAATACCACACTGCAGTAAAGGAGCATCTGATCTGCAACAAACCCCAAATAAAACCCCTCACTCCCCAGGAAACTAGAGTTACGGAAGCAACAATACCACACTGCAGTAAAGGAGCATCTCACCTGCAGCATACCCCAAATAAAACCCCTCACTCCCCAGGAAACTAGAGTTACGGAAGCAACAATACCACACTGCAGTGAAGGAGCAGCTGATCTGCAACAAACCCCAAATAAAACCCCTCACTCCCCAGGAAACTAGAGTTACGGAAGCAACAATACCACACTGCAGTAAAGGAGCATCTGCTCTGCAGCAAACCCCAAATAAAACCCCTCACTCCCCAGGAAACTAGAGTTACGGAAGCAACAATACCACACTGCAGTGAAGGAGCAGCTGATCTGCAACAAACCCCAAATAAAACCCCTCACTCCCCAGGAAACTAGAGTTACGGAAGCAACAATACCACACTGCAGTGAAGGAGCATCTGCTCTGCAGCAAACCCCAAATAAAACCCCTCACTCCCCAGGAAACTAGAGTTACGGAAGCAACAATACCACACTGCAGTGAAGGAGCAGCTGATCTGCAACAAACCCCAAATAAAACCCCTCACTCCCCAGGAAACTAGAGTTACGGAAGCAACAATACCACACTGCAGTGAAGGAGCAGCTGATCTGCAACAAACCCCAAATAAAACCCCTCACTCCCCAGGAAACTAGAGTTACGGAAGCAACAATACCACACTGCAGTAAAGGAGCATCTCATCTGCAGCAAACCCCAAATAAAACCCCTCACTCCCCAGGAAACTAGAGTTACGGAAGCAACAATACCACACTGCAGTGAAGGAGCATCTGATCTGCAGCAAACCCCAAATAAAACCCCTCACTCCCCAGGAAACTAGAGTTACGGAAGCAACAATACCACACTGCAGTAAAGGAGCATCTGATCTGCAGCAAGCCCCAAATAAAACCCCTCACTCCCCAGGAAACTAGAGTTACGGAAGCAACAATACCACACTGCAGTAAAGGAGCATCTGATCTGCAGCAAACCCCAAATAAAACCCCTCACTCCCCAGGAAACTAGAGTTACGGAAGCAACAATACCTCACTGCAGTAAAGGAGCATCTGATCTGCAGCAAACCCCAAATAAAACCCCTCACTCCCCAGGAAACTAGAGTTACGGAAGCAACAATACCACACTGCAGTAAAGGAGCATCTGATCTGCAGCAAACCCCAAATAAAACCCCTCACTCCCCAGGAAACTAGAGTTACGGAAGCAACAATACCACACTGCAGTAAAGGAGCATCTGGTCTGCAGCAAACCCCAAATAAAACCCCTCACTCCCCAGGAAACTAGAGTTACGGAAGCAACAATACCACACTGCAGTAAAGGAGCATCTGGTCTGCAGCAAACCCCAAATAAAACCCCTCACTCCCCAGGAAACTAGAGTTACGGAAGCAACAATACCACACTGCAGTAAAGAAGCATCTGATCTGCAGCAAACCCCAAATAAAACCCCTCACTCCCCAGGAAACTAGAGTTACGGAAGCAACAATACCACACTGCAGTAAAGGAGCATCTGGTCTGCAGCAAACCCCAAATAAAACCCCTCACTCCCCAGGAAACTAGAGTTACGGAAGCAACAATACCACACTGCAGTAAAGGAGCATCTGGTCTGCAGCAAACCCCAAATAAAACCCCTCACTCCCCAGGAAACTAGAGTTACGGAAGCAACAATACCACACTGCAGTAAAGGAGCATCTGATCTACAGCAAACCCCAAATAAAACCCCTCACTCCCCAGGAAACTAGAGTTACGGAAGCAACAATACCACACTGCAGTAAAGGAGCATCTGATCTACAGCAAACCCCAAATAAAACCCCTCACTCCCCAGGAAACTAGAGTTACGGAAGCAACAATACCACACTGCAGTAAAGGAGCATCTGGTCTGCAGCAAACCCCAAATAAAACCCCTCACTCCCCAGGAAACTAGAGTTACGGAAGCAACAATACCACACTGCAGTAAAGGAGCATCTGGTCTGCAGCAAACCCCAAATAAAACCCCTCACTCCCCAGGAAACTAGAGTTACGGAAGCAACAATACCACACTGCAGTAAAGGAGCATCTGATCTGCAGCAAACCCCAAATAAAACCCCTCACTCCCCAGGAAACTAGAGTTACGGAAGCAACAATACCACACTGCAGTAAAGGAGCATCTCATCTGCAGCAAACCCCAAATATAACCCCTCACTCCCCAGGAAACTCGAGTTACGGAAGCAACAATACCACACTGCAGTAAAGGAGCATCTGATCTGCAGCAAACCCCAAATAAAACCCCTCACTCCCCAGGAAACTAGAGTTACGGAAGCAACAATACCACACTGCAGTAAAGGAGCATCTCATCTGCAGCAAACCCCAAATAAAACCCCTCACTCCCCAGGAAACTAGAGTTACGGAAGCAACAATACCACACTGCAGTAAAGGAGCATCTCATCTGCAGCAAACCCCAAATAAAACCCCTCACTCCCCAGGAAACTAGAGTTACGGAAGCAACAATACCACACTGCAGTAAAGGAGCATCTCATCTGCAGCAAACCCCAAATAAAACCCCTCACTCCCCAGGAAACTAGAGTTACGGAAGCAACAATACCACACTGCAGTAAAGGAGCATCTCATCTGCAGCAAACCCCAAATAAAACCCCTCACTCCCCAGGAAACTAGAGTTACGGAAGCAACAATACCACACTGCAGTAAGGGAGCATCTCATCTGCAGCAAACCCCAAATAAAACCCCTCACTCCCCAGGAAACTAGAGTTACGGAAGCAACAATACCACACTGCAGTAAAGGAGCATCTGATCTGCAGCAAACCCCAAATATAACCCCTCACTCCCCAGGAAACTAGAGTTACGGAAGCAACAATACCACACTGCAGTAAGGGAGCATCTCATCTGCAGCAAACCCCAAATATAACCCCTCACTCCCCAGGAAACTAGAGTTACGGAAGCAACAATACCACACTGCAGTAAAGGAGCATCTCGTCTGCATCAAACCCCAAATAAAACCCCTCACTCCCCAGGAAACTAGAGTTACGGAAGCAACAATACCACACTGCAGTAAAGGAGCATCTCGTCTGCAGCAAACCCCAAATAAAACCCCTCACTCCCCAGGAAACTAGAGTTACGGAAGCAACAATACCACACTGCAGTAAAGGAGCATCTGATCTGCAGCAAACCCCAAATAAAACCCCTCACTCCCCAGGAAACTAGAGTTACGGAAGCAACAATACCACACTGCAGTAAAGGAGCATCTCGTCTGCATCAAACCCCAAATAAAACCCCTTACTCCCCAGGAAACTAGAGTTACGGAAGCAACAATACCACACTGCAGTAAAGGAGCATCTCATCTGCAGCAAACCCCAAATAAAACCCCTCACTCCCCAGGAAACTAGAGTTACGGAAGCAACAATACCACACTGCAGTAAAGGAGCATCTGATCTGCAGCAAACCCCAAATAAAACCCCTCACTCCCCAGGAAACTAGAGTTACGGAAGCAACAATACCACACTGCAGTAAAGGAGCATCTGATCTGTAGCAAACCTCAAATAAAACCCCTCACTCCCCAGGAAACTAGAGTTACGGAAGCAACAATACCACACTGCAGTAAAGGAGCATCTCGTCTGCAGCAAACCCCAAATAAAACCCCTCACTCCCCAGGAAACTAGAGTTACGGAAGCAACAATACCACACTGCAGTAAAGGAGCATCTGATCTGCAGCAAACCCCAAATAAAACCCCTCACTCCCCAGGAAACTAGAGTTACGGAAGCAACAATACCACACTGCAGTAAAGGAGCATCTCGTCTGCATCAAACCCCAAATAAAACCCCTTACTCCCCAGGAAACTAGAGTTACGGAAGCAACAATACCACACTGCAGTAAAGGAGCATCTGATCTGCAGCAAACCCCAAATAAAACCCCTCACTCCCCAGGAAACTAGAGTTACGGAAGCAACAATACCACACTGCAGTAAAGGAGCATCTGGTCTGCAGCAAACCCCAAATAAAACCCCTCACTCCCCAGGAAACTAGAGTTACGGAAGCAACAATACCACACTGCAGTAAAGGAGCATCTGATCTGTAGCAAACCTCAAATAAAACCCCTCACTCCCCAGGAAACTAGAGTTACGGAAGCAACAATACCACACTGCAGTAAAGGAGCATCTGATCTGCAGCAAACACAAATAAAACCCCTCACTCCCCAGGAAACTAGAGTTACGGAAGCAACAATACCACACTGCAGTAAAGGAGCATCTGATCTGCAGCAAACCCCAAATAAAACCCCTCACTCCCCAGGAAACTAGAGTTACGGAAGCAACAATACCACACTGCAGTAAAGGAGCATCTGATCTGCAGCAAACACCAAATAAAACCCCTCACACCCCAGGAAACTAGAGTTACGGAAGCAACAATACCACACTGCAGTAAAGGAGCATCTGATCTGCAGCAAACCCCAAATAAAACCCCTCACTCCCCAGGAAACTAGAGTTACGGAAGCAACAATACCACACTGCAGTAAAGGAGCATCTGATCTGCAGCAAACCCCAAATAAAACCCCTCACTCCCCAGGAAACTAGAGTTACGGAAGCAACAATACCACACTGCAGTAACGGAGCATCTCATCTGCAGCAAACCCCAAATAAAACCCTCACTCCCCAGGAAACTAGAGTTACGGAAGCAACAATACCACACTGCAGTAAAGGAGCATCTGATCTGCAGCAAACCCCAAATAAAACCCCTCTCTCCCCAGGAAACTAGAGTTACCGAAGCAACAATACCACACTGCAGTAAAGGAGCATCTGCAGCAAACCCCAAATAAAACCCCTCACTCCCCAGGAAACTAGAGTTACGGAAGCAACAATACCACACTGCAGTAAAGGAGCATCTGCAGCAAACCCCAAATAAAACCCCGCACTCCCCAGGAAACTAGAGTTACGGAAGCAACAATACCACACTGCAGTAAAGGAGCATCTCATTTGCAGCACGGAGTATGCGGAGTGTAAGAAGGAGGAAGTTACGCGCCTGCACGCTTCTTCTACCACGCTCTTTAACGCTAACTACAACATGACCCGCCTCGCTGCCAGGTTAGTGAATAGTGACGGGTTTTTGTGTGTACAAAATGAACCGCAATTTATCCGAACTTAGTTAATGTTCCTAACCTCAATCATGCAGTGGATGGCAAAACACTACTGAATAGTGGATATGATTCTAATGGAAAAGACAGTGCAAGTGATGGTAACTTTAAATAGTAAAATGACCGCTGTGTAGGTTTTAAAAGTTGTAATGTTAGTAGTCATACCCTGTGAATAAATTTGTAACAAAGGTTATTCTACAGGAATGTAGTCCCAGGAACCACAAATTCCTGTAGAGAAACCTTTGTTACGAATTTATTCACAGATGGTCCTGTGAATTTCTATTCTCGCCCTAACTAGAAGTCATACTGAGTAAATACCGAGAGATTTGGAGCAAGTTGATTTAGAATTTCCCGCTAAAACGGAATCCTAGTAAATTGTGTGCATGTTAGAGACGTGTTGTCACTGTTAAGTCAGCGGAACTTCATCATAGCTTAACCACTGCATACCAAATGTAGAGTTAATAATGAAGGGAATGCTAGCTAGATGAAGTGAAGAGAGAAACTAGACACACAAATAGAAGCAACAAATTATTGCAATGTCAGAGTAATGTTTACTACACAAAATATTAGATATTTAACGAACTTCTGTCGCAATGGTTACGTAAAACTGTACGATACCGTTAGTATTGCTACTGTGTATACTGTAATTCCGGATAAGAACAAAAGTTTAGATTCGTCAATCGTCATCAAACATGGAATTGGTCAGAACTAAACATTTAAATACTTGTGAGTAAGTAAAACTAAACACGTGACAGTGCTTCTGGTTTTTTATTGCTTATATAATATTGTTTGTTTGATACTCTAGTAGGAGGAGCCAGGTTACCATGGATACTGGAAGTTGATTGGTTAATCAGTGTCACGTGCCCCACAAAATGATTCATCCTGGCATTATGCCAGGCTGGCATATCCACGCTTAAAAGATCGTTTATTTGGTAATCAAATCCTATTGCTGATGGAGGTACCTACTAAAATACAGACAAAGGGTATTCGCCGACATAATTCTCAAGGTAGAGTAATTTTTGCGGATAATGTCAGAACTCAGAACCACACCTGTTTCCTAGACCTCAAATTAGCTCAGATATTCTGACACAATCTGACACAAACAAGTCAAACTAGCAACAACTGATTGAGCACTCCTCGTGCCTTTGTTCAACTTAATAATGCATGGCTAATGGCTATCCAACCAAATTGTGATCAGATTAAGTGTGCTGATGTGAAGAGACAGGAAGACAGTGTGAAGCAATAAGGCTACTGTTTGTTTGTTCTGTGTCAATTAAAATGCTTATGACTACGTCTTTTATTCGTGGAAACGTAAGGCGTTTATAATTTTTAAATAAAGCGATATTCATTAAAATCCACCCGACTGAAAGAGTGAATGGGTAGATGATGTAATCTTTGAGTAAAGACTAAGGGAAAGAAATAAATAAAAAGAACAATATATTATATGCATTCAATTAAATCAAGTGATGCGATTGGCGGAGCACAATACACAGAAAGAAACAAAAGAAACTCAGGTGTCAGGGTTTAGTTAGTGCCTGCACAGTGCACACAGCTACAGCACAATTCAACTTGATTCACATCTCGTGATCAGGTGACGCTCTTTTGATCACGTGTCTTGATCAGTTGATCTCATCTGATTTGTACAGTGGTATTGAACACGTGACCTTACTTTGTATCACGTGATGTGAAACAAAGTCACGTGATGTGAAAACAGGTGGCTTTCTTGCCCTCGTACATGGTATTCTGCAAGTTTGTATTTAATTATGTTCTGTAATTTGTGGTATTAGTATTACACTACTCGCCATGCTCCGATTGATGATAGATGAGTAACAGTTATCATAATATCATTATGTGGTATTAATCAGTCTTACTTGAGTAGATCTGGATACTGACGGGGAGGTGAACCTATTTGACACGTGACAGCAATTAATAATCAACTCCTGGCATTGTCCAGTCAGTGCAGAACAAGTTCACCTTCTCGGCGAGAATATTGGTGCAATATTCAAATCTATTAACTTATTTCGTCTTACTATTGTTATCTAAGTATATCCCTGATATTCGAAAACGGAATTATTCGAGAACACTAAAACTTGTCGAAATAGCCCAACATTTGACTCTCAATGCCACGAAAATACAACATCCAGAACTATGGTTCATGGCACACACTCGGCGAAATACAAAAACATCACCTCCTATAAATTATCATGTATATTAGGACAAGCGTAGTGTCATAACAAAGAACAATCTAACCATGGGTGTGAGGAGACTGACAGGTTCATTGTTAATCTAACGACGATAATAACCACATAATGACCACATAATTATGCATGTTAGATGCTTGGTTGATTATGGGGGTTAGTAATAGTGGGAAGGCAGTCATGGTACAAGTGGCGTAGGTTTGTTTTGATAATACAAAGATTTAACTGTCAGATGGTTTCAACTTTCATCGTGGTCAACAAAATATCACGTGTTAAAACAAACTTATACTTCAAAGTTTTAATAAGCCGAGAAAACCTTATTTTACTCTACAGTAGTTTTATTTCAAACTGAACAACTTGAAAATGGACCTGTGCAGTGTTCTCAAGTATGCTGTAGAGAGTACTGAACACAATAGTATACACAGGTGTGAGTAACCAGCACTAATACATCGCAAATATTTAGTGAGATTGTTAGTTTGTACTCGTTCCGGCCTCTTCCAGGAATAGTAACAACAATTATAGATCTTTTGTTTTGGCGGGAAAACTAGTTTAAAAGTAAATAAACTGAAGTTCAGGATCAAATAAGACGGTTAAAAGTGTTATCTTAAGTTAACAAGTTAACTTAACAAGTGTTGACTTAATCTTAATTAATTAATTAACTTAACTCAATCTTAATTAATTAACATAAAACATTTAAGAACATTAAAGATTAAAACAAAATGTTTTATGGTTATTGTGAACGTGTTTTCTAAGAGCAAGATTGAAAATTATTCTGTTTATGTGTCATAATAATATGTAGATATGAGAACTCTATCTTACTAAGGACACATTTTATTCGAATGCGTGAGAAAAGGCGGGAAATGGCGGGAATAAGGCTGTAGATTAAAGATATCACAGACACAAATTGAAATTTCTTGCTTTTGACTGATCCATTCAACTGTCGTTTATTCCTTTAATCAACCCCTAATAATCTCAGGTATATGTTCAATTGATCGCTTATTATGTCAGGTATATGTTTAATTGATCACTAATTCTCTAATTATGTCAGGTATATGTTTAATTGATCGCTAATTATGTCAGGTATATGTTTAATTGATCGCTAATTATCTCAGGTATATGTTTAATTGATCGCTAATTATCTCAGGTATATGTTTAATTGATCGCTAATTATCTCAGGTATATGTTTAATTGATCACTAATTATCTCAGGTATATGTTTAATTGATCGCTAATTATCTCAGGTATATATTGTTTAATTGATCGCTAATTATCTCAGGAATATGTTTAATTGATCGCTAATTACCTCAGGTATATATTGTTTAATTGATCGCTAATTATCTCAGGTAAATGTTTAATTGATCGCTAATTATCTCAGGTATATATTTAATTGATCGCTAATTATCTCAGGTATATATTTAATTGATCGCTAATTATCTCAGGTATATGTTTAATTGATCACTAATTATCTCAGGTACGTGTTACAACTGAAGACGTTCTCCTCAAAGCGTGACATATTCTTAACAAGCCAACTATCAGAGCTCCTCACAACATACCTTACACATCACCAACTGGGATCTAACATTGCTCTCGAGGTTTTTATATTGTAACACCCTAGTAACACCCTAGTAACATCCTAGTAACACCCTAATTACTCACAACATACCTTACACATCACCAACTGGGATCTTACATTGCTCTAGAGGTTTTTATATTGTAACACCCTAGTAACACCCTAGTAACACCCAAGTAACACCCTAGTAACACCTTAGTAACACCCTAGTAACACCCTAGTAACACCCTAGTAACACCTTAGTAACACCCTAGTAAAACCAGGTAGTAACACCCTAGTAACACCCTAGTAACACCCTAGTAACACCCTAGTAACACCCTAATTACTCACAACATACCTTACACATCACCAACTGGGATCTAACATTGCTCTAGAGGTTTTTATATTGTAACACCCTAGTAACACCTTAGTAACACCCTAGTTACACCTTAGTAACACCCTAGTAACACCCTAGTAACACCTTAGTAAAACCCTAGTAAAACCAGGTAGTAACACCCTAGTAACACCCTAGTAACACCCTAGTAACACCCTAGTAACACCCTAATTACTCACAACATACCTTACACATCACCAACTGGGATCTAACATTGCTCTAGAGGTTTTTATATTGTAACACCCTAGTAACACCCTAGTAACACCCTAGTAACACCCTAGTAACACCCTAGTAACACCCTAATTACTCACAACATACCTTACACATCACCAACTAGGATCTAACATTGCTCTCGAGGTTTTTATATTGTAACACCCTAGTAACACCCTAGTAACACCCTAGTAACACCCTAGTAACACCCTAATTACTCACAACATACCTTACACATCACCAACTGGGATCTAACATTGCTCTCGAGGTTTTTATATTGTAACACCCTAGTAACACCCTAGTTACACCCTAGTAACACCCTAATAACACCCTAGTAACACCCTAACATTGCTCTCGAGGTTTTTAAACTAAAATTGTTCTTAATCTTTTTGTTAATTCATAATTCTGATTTGGATTTAGTGGATCTAGTGTTTATAATTGTAGTACTAGTTAATCTGAGTTTTTAGTCAACATGACATGATTTGAATAAAGCCAGTGCTTCGAAACCATCCCTTGTACAACAGGTGGAAAGCCAGCGGGATACCTTTACCGAGACGCTGGTAACTAACTAACTAAATAACTAACTAACTAACTAAATAACTAACTAAATAACTAAATACCTAACAGGTGGAGAGCCAGCGAGATACCTTTACCGAGACGCTGGTAGAAACAAAGAAAGGTCTGGAAGCAACTACAGGCGAGCTGAAGGAGGAGCTGCGCGTAGTAGTTACACGTGCTGAACGCGCCCAGACTATGAAACTTCTTAACCTTCAACTGTACGACCTGCACATGAACGAGGAAGCTACCAAAACAGCTGCCAAGTAAGGAATAAGCATTCGTGAGATTTTGTTTACAGAAACTTTTAACTAATTAAGTTTGGCAATTTGAATGCACGTGGATGTGATTATTTCTATGTCTGAAATTTGAATTGAACGAAACAAAATTTGGAGTAGTAATGGTTAATTTCACGACTACGAATAATAACATGTATTGAGGCAACGTAACCTCAACTGTTATCTTAGTATAGATAGTGTTTACAGTACACTACAATGTTGATGTGCTCAAGAGGTATCCTAAAAAGATTATTGATCTTTTGGCAGGGCCCCTTAGTCAGGGTCTTACTGACTTTATATAGGAGAATAACAATGAATTGCAAATGGATGAAAATGTAGTTACTATAATATAGTTACTATAATAAATCAAACTTTTGCCACGAAACCAACTCAAACCGAACAATGTTCATGTTAGATTATCTGCATAATATTATAAAATAGTGAACTAAAAACCGTCAGAAACTTAAATAGATGGTTCTTAATGTGCCGAGGTGATAACTGCTAACGAAATACTTAACATGCAATACTTATAGTTCAGAGAAACAGGTGCAATTTTAAAATATTTAGTACCCTGGTTTGCAGTGCCCGCTAATTTAGATTCAAACTTGAAACTGGATACGGTAAGTACCAACCAATATTTCAAACTAAATAGAGATTGAAAATTAGTGCCCTGACTCTGGCAATTTGGACACTGCTAATGGAATACAACAACAATGACTGTTCGAACTACCAGGGTACTAACGGTCTCAAACAGACCAACCGGTGTCATCCGAATTATTAAATTTGACTATAAAGTTTGGCAATTTGAATGCACGTGGATGTGATTATTTCTATGTTTGAAATTTGAATTGAACGAAACAAAATAAATCATCCGAATTATTAAATATGACTTAGGAATCAGTACTAGGAAATTGTCGGCGAGTGTATGCTTCACTTATGTGTGTTACAAAGTGGGACTCCTCGTAGAGAAGGTTGCGGAAACTAGCTCATGCAGCAAAGGTTAGGTATACGTTTGATTAATGGTTAATGACGGCTCAAGTAAATCGCTAAGCATTGTTTAAATTTCGTTGGCTACCAAAGTAAGATTTGGGTTAAGCACTGTACAATGTGCATATACCACGGTGACTCCAAGTTGGTGGGATTGCTAGCGGAGTATATTCAGATACCATTATGATTGGTGCCACAAGTCTGCGACTTCATTGGGGAATTATGAGATTATAAATCTTCTATTATCATAAAAGTAACATCCAATTCATGATTATTCATAGCTAGATTACAATCAAAAGCAAAATGACTATTCACAGCAGGATGATTATTCACGAACTCTACCCGGCCCTCAAGAGCTGAATGTATATTCATTACTACTGTGCTACTAATTAATGACACATTAACTAATTAATGACACATTAACTAATTAATGACACATTAACTAATTAATGACACATTAACTAATTAATGACACATTAACTAATTAATGACACATTAACTAATTAATGACACATTAACTAATTAATGACACATTAACTAATTAATGACACATTAACTAATTGATGACACATTAACTAATTAATGACACATTAACTAATTGATGACACATTAACTAATTAATGACACATTAACTAATTGATGACACATTAACTAATTAATGACACATTAACTAATTAATGACACATTAACTAATTAATGACACATTAACTAATTAATGACACATTAACTAATTGATGACACATTAACTAATTAATGACACATTAACTAATTGATGACACATTAACTAATTAATGACACATTAACTAATTGATGACACATTAACTAATTAATGACACATTAACTAATTAATGACACATTTACTAATTAATGACACATTAACTAATTGATGACACATTAACTAATTGATGACACATTAACTAATTGATGACACATTAACTAATTAATGACACATTAACTAATTAATGACACATTAACTAATTAATGACACATTAACTAATTAATGACACATTAACTAATTAATGACACATTAACTAATTAATGACACATTAACTAATTAATGACACATTAACTAATTAATGACACATTAACTAATTAATGACACATTAACTAATTAATGACACATTAACTAATTAATGACACATTAACTAATTAATGACACATTAACCAATTAATGACACATTAACCAATTAATGACACATTAACCAATTAATGACACATTAACCAATTAATGACACATTAACTAATTAATGCCCCCTTAACCTCCAGACTAAACGAGTACACTAACATAGAGGAGATAGCTCCCAGCAGTCCCCCAGACCAGATACACGGTTATTTGTGGGTCGGGGAGAAAAGTGCCGTATTTGGACATTCCTGGTACCGGTCCTGGTGCCGTGTTAAAGACGGCATGCTGGTGTTGCAGGTTTGAAGCGCTGTTTTGTGCTGTGTGTTTTGTGTGTAAAGTCGGGTGATTTTTATGTGGGAATAGTTGTTAAATGCTGGTTTAGTTTGAATTATTATTCGTTTCATGGTTAATTCATACATATGCTGCCGAATGTGTATTCAGTTCCTTAAGCTCGGTCGAAGGTGAAATTTAGATTTAAACGTCTGGTTCAATGTCGATTGCACGACCAACTATTAGCAAATCATATGACGTTAAAACAAAATGAAGATAAGACATGTAATTACTTTAAGAGCAAGGAAACTTTTGTCTAAGAGTAAGATGAATGAACTGCTGCAATCGTCAAGGACAAAGTGTCCTTATTTATCTTTTACTGCCCATTTGTACACCACAATTCTTTTATCAATAAGTCCCGACCCTACACCTGATTCAAATCTACATTTTTACTGTCGAAACTACTGTTTCTCGAATCTTTAGTGTTTAGTATTATCTTTTTATCTTCAGAATGCGGACAAGGGCGAACAGAGAATAAACCTAAAGCTGTGTCAAGTGAAATCAGACGCGTACAATATTAACCGTGCATTTTGTTTCACCCTGTTCTCACCTGTGAGGCCCCTGGTATTGCAAGCTCAATCTTCACAAGGTACGCTGTTATTACTCCTTTACTCACCGCTCACGTATATGTACAGTAATCAGTATACGTCAATAAACAGCGGCTATAATTCTATTGGGCACTAATCCGGCACGCAAATTTTAGGACGTTTTTCTGGAACGCGCGAAAACAATTTCGCTTGATAGCACAGCGATAAATTGCTTGCTGTATGCGCGCGTATAAGTACGTGCGCTGCGTGAGGTTTAATTATTCTTGCAGTAATCGACATTAAATCGATTGTGGAATATTTGAAACCATGCACGCGGCACTATTAAGATTGAAGAATTGCCATACCCACTGAAAGTGAATAACTCGAAACCTACAAAAGATCAGCTCTGAAAGTAGTAATCTTAGTTCTTACTTAACCTATTCACCAATCACCAGATAGGGAAACCTGGATAATGATAATGCACAAAGCTATCGCTAATGCTATTTCAAAAGCAAGACACCCAGTTCTCTATAGCTGATGATTCTAATAATACGTGAGTATCTTGGTTAAGTTTTCAAAAGTTATCAGTAGCCCGTTTCATCTTTTAAAATTGGGAGTCCATCTCAATTCTTGGTTTATGTTAATTTTGATGTTCACTGATTGGATACCTCATAACTGTGGTTTTATGATCGTTTTGATACCCTACTCCGCAAGCAATCCCACCAAATTGGAGAATAGTCCATATGAACAAGAAACTTGACTCTACATTGATTATTTTACGTTATCCCAATATATCATTACCAGAAAATCGAAAACATCCTCTCGGAAGAAAGACAATATAATACCCTTGACTATCTTACGAGAATTGCAGGAAATACCGGGCAATCTTACCTGTGCTGATTGTGCCAAGAAGAAGCCTACTTGGGCCAGGTGAGATTTCTTGGAATTCGATCCATTTTAAGTCATCGTAAAGTTATTTTGGTTCTGCAATCTGTCCTTTTCCGCGAATTTACCTTCACTTTGTTTCCACTCTTATCTTTTCTCGTGTGATTTTGTTAAGTACGAAACACTTGCTTTTAAAAGTTCCCTTTTTCAGCCTGAATCTTGGTGTGCTGATTTGTATTGAGTGCTCGGGGATTCACCGCGGTCTGGGTGTACAGTTATCACAGGTATTGAGCAACTAGCAAGCAATGTTTACTGTTTTTTTGTTCTTTACTTTTGTTCTTTACATTTATTCTTTACTTAGTCTTTGAGGAAAACTAGGCCGACATCAAGGCATCTTTTAACCCACTTGATGGAAAATGTTTGATTTGAATCATTAATTCTCAAAGATTTTAAGATGGACGTTGTCTTCTTATTTGTAAAATAAACAATGTAGGTCAGGTCGCTGACTCTAGATGCGCTGAGTGAGGATCAGATAGAACTACTGAGAAGTGTGGGAAATGCTGCTGCTAATGCTGTAAGTTATCACAGTTACACTACTAGTTACCATAGTTACACTACTAGTTACCATAGTTACACTACTAGTTACCATAGTTACACTACTAATGCTGTAAGTCGTTTACTCCTCTTAGTATTTGGAATATTCTTTCTTTTCTGTTTTAGTTTTGTCCTGAGTATCTCCTTGCAGAATTATATTTCAATATTAGGTCCAATCCTTTTTTCAGACTTAATTTGTTTACTTTTTTATTGAGACTGAGTTAACTTTAAATTAATGAGCGTTGAGTTTTACGACAAACAAAAGCTTTGTAATTTGGTAGACGGGATAGTATAGGAAGGCTCAATTACTTTCTTTTTAGATTTACGAGGCGGAATTAGATGCGGAAAAGAATCTAACAAATCATGTTGAGAGAAAAGATTTTATTTGCAGGAAATATTCTGATCTTACATTCACTTCTTCTAAATACCACGACATTGTTCTAGAGTCAAGTAAGTAACGGTTTTTTTTGTAATACTCAAAAAATACAGAGGATTTTTAAAACCAGCTTTTCTTAAACTAGATTCAATTCGGTAGTTTCTTGGTGGTAAAGGTTTACCTAATGATTGATTCAACTTTGTCCCAGAAGCCCTATAGACTATAGCCCTATACTATAGACTACTATCATACACTGTTACCAATAATTTAACTTTGTAGGAAAGACGGGGTCTCAAAAAACTCTTGCAGCTGTCCAAACAATGGACAAAAGAGATTCTCTTTCTCCAACAAAAAGAGATTCTCTTTCTCCAACAAAAGTAGATTCTCCAACGATGGCGAATCAGAACATGAATATCCCTCCTACGGTTGACAATAACCTTCCGTCTTAATCACGTTTTAAAATAGAGTTTTAAAATCTGACGTGATGTTTTGCGACAGATTTTTGCAGGATTGCAACTCACTTGTCATCATGTGACAGTGATTCCACTTGTGTTGCGACCCTGCACCCTGTACGTGTATAATATTAGAATAAACTGAGGTACGTAATGTTTTGTGTCGTGATTTTATTTAGCTCTCCAGAAGGAACGAGTAAATACAATATTTTAAATAAAGAGTAAAAATGTTATTTTAAATAACATCAATATTTTGACTCCTTCATTTCATTTAAATTTGATGTTTTATGATCGTTGGTTTCATCTTACAGCACATTTCACATTTGCCCATTTTTCGCTATTTAAGATGAGTTTGGCAGCAAAATAAGTAAAGATATCGTATATAGAATTTAAAATAAAGTCATATAACATTATGTGTATATATAAAAAGATGATTTGTGATTTATGACGTTTATGAATTATGAATTTCGGGAAATTAATGTTGTACTGTTGATCGGTTTGATTTTGTGAGCTCAACCTTTTGTTTGTATTTCATGACGTGTTCTAATCATGAATTCGAATTCAATCAAGCCTGTCGCATAGAACTTAGTTTGATTGAGAAAAGTGTTGATACGATGCTCACCAATCACTATCGTTTGCTTAACCCATATTCTTCCACGGTACTTTTAAAAGTACGGTTTATAAACAGTGACCTAACTTGTCTCGTGACAAATATTTTTTGATACAGTTTTTTGCATTAGGTTAGAAAAGGTCTGCTGATGATTTTAACACCCTGACCATATGGTTTAAAAAAGCAAGAAATTTATAGGATGTTGGCAAAGGTGATCAAAAATGGTACTTTGAAAAATGGTAAATTCTCGGTACCACCAGCCAATTCTCCAACTTTGATGGATCCCAAATTTGGTTTTTTAATATTGCCTAAACGATTGTGCAATAAATAGGCAATAATGTGGGGCGACATAAAAATCATAAATTGCCTCTAATTGAGATGTAAATTGGGTGTACTTTAAAAAGTACATCATTCTAGACAATGATGTACTTTTAAAAGTGCGTACTTTTAAAAGTGCATTATCTTCGAATGATGTACTTTTAAAAGGACAGGTTTCACGAAAAATGTACTTTTAAAAGTACAGGTTTATATAGAGTACACAATGTGTGATGGCATGATTAATGTCGGTAAGACTGTAAGTGTAATGGCAGGTAAATTGTTCTGAATCAGAACGGAAGTCACAACAAAAAATTTCTGTTGTGACTTCTGGGATTTAGTCGATCTTAAAAGGATCCACGTTTTCACCCGGTTATTCCACGTCTTCCAGGGCGGCCTTCAATATACTCTTTCTTAATGTGGGGGGGGGGGGAGAACATAAGGTCAGAATCGTACGTGACGTTTGGGGGGGGGGGGGGGGGGGGAGTGGGTCATATTTTCTTCCAAAACACAGTTAGTACTTTTGTACTAAGTGGTTGGTATGCTGCTCATTTCCCAGAAAATCAGTTAGTACAAGGTACTAAGGGGCGTATCCAACCCCAAAAATACCCATTTTACCTCAAATTTCAATTTTGGGAATGGGTTTTTTTTTGGGTTTTGAGGTTTTTTTCCTTTATTTTTGGTTTTTTTAATTTTGTTTCCTTTTTTTGTAACTTTTTATTTAATTCGACTACATTGAAAACAAAACCCCTACTAAATAGTGGGTATAATTTGCCCATTTCTCAACAGTTAGTACCGCAAAAGGGGTGGGTGTCCTAAATACTATCAGGAAAAAAAAACAGTTAGTACTGCGAAGGGGATGGGTGGGTCTTTTTTGTAAGTTCCAAAGTTGCACTTAGTCGACGTCACGTAGGGTACTTGGTACCTGATCCCCCCCCCCCCCCCCCCCCCCCCCCCCCCCCCCCCCCCGCTTAATGTTTACAATCCTAGATCTCATGTAACTGGTTTCCGAATTTCGATGTATGTTTACTATTAAATACTGGCATGATTGTGTGCCATCAGCAACCTGATGTTCCAACATAAGATTCCTTTCCTTGTAGTCTATACATTTCCTCAGCTGCGTTGTTCTGGTCCTCTAGAACTCTCTCAGCTTCTGCTACTCTCTTCTGTTCCTCTAGAATTGTCTCAGCTTCTGCTACTCTCTTCTGTTCCTCTAGAATACGCTCAGCTTCTGTTACTCTCTTCTTTTCCTCTAGAACTCTCTCCACCTCTGCTACTCTCTTCTGCTCCTCTAGAATTCTCTCAGCTTCTGCTACTCTCTTCTGTTCCTCTAGAATACGCTCAGCTTCTGTTACTCTCTTCTTTTCCTCTAGAACTCTCTCCACCTCTGCTACTCTCTTCTGCTCCTCTAGAATTCTCTCAGCTTCTGCTACTCTCTTCTGTTCCTCTAGAATTCTCTCAGCTTCTGCTACCTTCTTCTGTTCCTCTAGAACTCTCTCAGCTTCTGCTACTCTCTTCTGCTCCTCTAGAACTCTCTCAGCTTCTGCTACTCTCTTCTGTTCCTCTAGAATTCTCTCCACCTCTGGTAATCTCTTCTGTTCCTCTAGAATATGCTCAGCTTCTGCTACTCTCTTCTGCTCCTCTAGAATTCTCTCCACCTCTGCTACTCTCTTCTGTTCCTCTAGAGTACGCTCAGCTTCTGCTACTCTCTTCTGTTCCTCTAGAACTCCCTCAGCTTCTGCTACTCTCTTCTGTTCCTCTAGAATACGCTCAGCTTCTGCTACTCTCTTCTGCTCCTCTAGAATTCTCTCAGCTTCTGCTACTCTCTTCTGTTCCTCTAGAATTCTCTCTGCTACCTTCTTCTGTTCCTCTAGAACTCTCTCAGCTTCTGCTACTCTCTTCTGCTCCTCTAGAACTCTCTCAGCTTCTGCTACTCTCTTCTGTTCCTCTAGAATACGCTCAGCTTCTGCTACTCTCTTCTGTTCCTCTAGAATTCTCTCCACCTCTGCTACTCTCTTCTGTTCCTCTAGAATATGCTCAGCTTCTGCTACTCTCTTCTGTTCCTCTAGAATTCTCTCCACCTCTGGTACTCTCTTCTGTTCCTCTAGAATATGCTCAGCTTCTGCTACTCTCTTCTGCTCCTCTAGAATTCTCTCCACCTCTGCTAGTTTCTTCTGCTCCTCTAGAATACGCTCAGCTTCTGCTACTCTCTTCTGTTCCTCTAGAACTCTCTCAGCTTCTGCTGCTCTATTCTGTTCCTCTAGAATATGCTCAGCTTCTGCTACTCTCTTCTGTTCCTCTAAAATTGTCTCAGCCTCTGCTACTCTCTTCTCATTCTCACCATTTTCGGCGTTCTTTAAGTTGTGAAAAGCGTCTGGCTATAAGTGCGTCTGGCTAAGTGCGAAGTGTGTGACGTTGCACTTTGTGTGCTTTGTTTTAAGCCTCATCATCAGTTAGAGCAAAAAGCACAAAACCTGACAATTTTCGTAAAATTCTAGTAAATTGGTAAATGGAATTATGATAGTAGTTTATAAGTATAGCTGTTCATGATTTGTTCAGTGTACCACTTAAATTTTGTGTGGTATTGTTTAAATTTTATTCAGCCATTCTGACAAGGGCTTTTAGTTTTATTATCTGACCCTGAGTTCCTGTTTAATTAACTAACGTACCTCCAAAAGTACACTATTCATTAAACCCGTACTTTTAAAAGTACATTATTTATTAAACCCGTGCTTTTAAAAGTACATCATTCAAATATGATGTACTTTTAAAAGTACGATGCAATGTTCCAAAAAAGCAAGCTCCAGCAATGAACTTTTAAAAGTACGGGTCGAAAAAGCTATAAAAAATATAAATTTTTTCAAAATAATTATTGCACCGTCGGAGTTGGTGCCTTAGTGCTTAGGAAAAAAAATTTCATCAAAAAATTTGAACGTTTAGAGTTGTTGGTATTATATGGGTTAAATGCCTTTAAATTGATTAATTTATGTATTAAGGTTAATAATATTACCTCTGATAGCAAGATGAAGCGGAAAACTCCACCAGACGTCATTGCAGATGGAACCCAGTCTGAACGGAAAAAAGACAAAAGAAAAAGACTGAGCATCAAAAGTAGTAGTAAGTTATTCGTTCTTAGTAGAAAGTTCGAAATAAAATAACCTAATTCATTAAGGGATAATGTGCATCATGTATCAATCTTCGGGAGTCATAAGAATGTGAAACCCCCTAACAATACCCCCATATTTTAAAAGGAAACCCCCTAACAATACCCCATATTTTAAGGAAACCCCCTAACAATACCCCCATATTTTAAAAGGAAACCCTCTAACAATACCCCCATATTTTGAAAGAAACCCCCTAACAATACCCCCATATTTTAAAGGAAATCCCCTAACAATACCCCATATTTTGAAATAAACCCCCTAACAATACCCCCATATTTTAAAGGAAATCCCCTAACAATGCCCCATATTTTAAAGGAAACCCCCTAACAATGCCCCATATTTTAAAGGAAACCCCCTAACAATGCCCCATATTTAAAGGAAACCCCCTAACAATACCCCATATTTTAAAGGAAACCCCCCTAACAATACCCCATATTTTAAAGGAAACCCCCTAACAATACCCCATATTTTAAAGGAAATCCCCTAACAATGCCCCATATTTTAAAGGAAACCCCCTAACAATACCCCATATTTTAAAGGAAATCCCCTAACAATACCCCCATATTTTAAAGGAAACCCCCTAACAATACCCCCATATTTTAAAGGAAACCCCCTAACAATGCCCCATATTTTAAAGAAAACCCCCTAACAATACCCCCATATTTTAAAGGAAACCCCCTAACAATACCCCCATATTTAAAGGAAACCCCCTAACAATACCCCATATTTAAAGGAAACCCCCTAACAATACCCCATATTTAAAGGAAACCCCCTAACAATACCCCATATTTTAAAGGAAACCCCCTAACAATGCCCCATATTTAAAGGAAACCCCCTAACAATACCCCATATTTTAAAGGAAACCCCTAACAATACCCCATATTTTAAAGGAAACCCCCTAACAATACCCCATATTTTAAAGGAAATCCCCTAACAATGCCCCATATTTTAAAGGAACCCCCCTAACAATACCCCATATTTTAAAGGAAACCCCCTAACAATACCCCATATTTTAAAGGAAACCCCCTAACAATACCCCATATTTTAAAGGAAACCCCCTAACAATACCCCATATTTTAAAGGAAATCCCCTAACAATGCCCCATATTTTAAAGGAACCCCCCTAACAATACCCCATATTTTAAAGGAAACCTCCTAACAATACCCCATATTTTAAAGGAAACCCCCTAACAATACCCCATATTTTAAAGGAAACCACCTAACAATACCCCATATTTCAAGGAAAGAAGAGGGCCAGTACGGGAAATATGGAGGATAAGAGCGGTTCAGTCTCTTCTTTAGCTTCAAGTGTCATGTCATGTGATTCCGTCATGTCAGGTGAGGGCTTTATTTTGTTTCAGGTAATAAAAAGGTGAGATTAGGGTTTCCGAATATCTAATATCGAATACAGAAATTGAATTCCGAATATTTTCAGAATTATTCCGCAACCTTACTATATCTTATATTTTAAATAATAATGATCACATTTTAGATGACGAAAAGAGACGAGACAACATTTTGGATGTTACAGCGGTGTTCAGCCCACGAGCCGGCCCACCACCTGTCACACCAAGGTAACTATCTCCATTATCTTAATTAATGGAAATATTCTCGTATAATCGTATATAATATATAACACGCTTCATCAATAAAAACATGTCCAAAAACGTTTATTCTGATTTCCATCTAGTTTAGCATGACTTCGAAAAAGACTTCTATTTCTTCTAATCCAATAATTCAGTTGTATGCGTGTTTTAAAAACTCTTACTTCCTTTCCTCTTAGTAAATTAGAGTAGTTTGGACGACTATCTGCGGATTATACCTTGCAGTGGTCGTTTAAAACGTACATTAGAGCATTTGGTTAAATACCCACTAAACTAGCTGCAGCAGTATCTCCACTTCAATGTTCCGCAGGACTAGCAGTTTGTCCCGATCCACCACGTTTTACAAGAGACCGATGCTGCCCCTGTCGCTGGTCCAGGTATCGGAAGAAGACGCTGCAACCCCCACCAACTCCCCCCTACCTCCCCCGCCACCACACACTAAAGCTCTGGGTATGTGCGCTTGTTCGTTTGTCACTGCATGGGGGTTACAAGTTTGAGTATCTGTTTTAACTTGTTTTTTTGAGACAAACCGATGAAAACTAATCATTATCACATACTATAATACCTCATTGCAATAACATTTAGCATACTAACTAATCATAATTACATAATAAAATTACTAATCATAATTACATAATATAATAACTAATAATAACTACATAATATAATAACTAATTACAGATAGCCACACAGCAGCACTGCCCCTGCCGCCTCCTCTAGCTGGTAGAGGTTACACTGTATCAGTAGCTCTCCCTGGCTCTATCTGTGATAACGCTCAATCTCCACAACTTCGCTCTTATCTAGCGGGTTTGATAAATATTTCATAATTGGTCAATCAGTTACATGTTACAACTAGTTACATGTTACAATATTACATCGTATTTTGATACGGAGTGGTCAATCAGTTACATGTTACAATATTACATCGTATTTTTATACGGAGTGGTCAATCAGTTACATGTTACAATATTACATCGTATTTTGATACGAAGTGGTCAATCAGTTACATGTTACAATATTACATCGTATTTAGATACGGAGGGAAAACATAAATTAGTATCTGAGCAAAGATGTTTATTTCAGGTCAAATAGCAAGAGCACTAGCTATATTCAACGTGGACGAGGTAGTGATATTTAACGATAACCCTGGGGTTAAAGTAAAAGGGGGCGTATTCGAGGGGGTCACTAAGAAAACTAATGCAAACATAGTCCTGGCTCGGATACTACAGTACCTGGAGACCCCCCAGTAAGTTGGTTACTTGTTGGTTACTTGGTGGTTACTTGTTGGTTACTTGGTGGTCACTTGTTGGTTACTTGTTGGTTACTTGTCAGTTACTTGTTGGTTACTTGTTGGTTACTTGGTGGTTACTTGTTGGTTACTTACTGGTCACTTGTTGGTTACTTGTTGGTTACTTGGTGGTAACTTGTTGGTTACTTGGTGGTAACTTGTTGGTTACTTGGTGGTCACTTGTTGGTTACTTGTTGGTTACTTACTGGTTACTTGTTGGTCACTTGTTGGTCACTTGTTGGTTACTTGTTGGTTACTTGCTGGTTACTTGTTGAATGTTGGTTACTTGTTGGCATCCTCTTGGTGACCTGCTAATCTGCTCTTTCTACACTATACGAGCTATTATAAAATCACACACTAAACCCCCTGTTTACAGATACTTGAGAAAAGCCCTGTTTCCCCACCACCCCGACCTCAAGTTTGCGGGTCTCCTCAACCCGCTGGACTGTCCACACCATATGAGACGGGACGAGCAGTACCCCTTCAGGGAGGGAGTTGTGTTGAAGAGGCCCACAAAGAAGGGGAAGGGCTGCTTCGTGGACTGTGGTATTGACAAGGTACAATTCAGAAGTGGGGTTAATGTTTCAGTAGGGTTGGAGGCTGGATCTGGTTATGGGTACACACTACACGTGGTTTTTACCATCTCGTGGTGCTTGAATATAAAATAATATGATGTTAATATAATTAATTATTACCCACATCATTAATTTCAGGAGGTACAGATTGACAAGGAACTAACTCCTGGAATGAGAGTCACAGTTAAAATGGATGATTACGAAGGTGTGCCGCTTATCTTATCTAGCTTTATATCCTATCAGTAGCTATTTCACTCCCCATCACCATATCCAGCCCCCCCCTTCTAAAAACACCCCATGGCCCAGGTATAAAGCACTACAAAGGTACAGCAGTATCACCGGACGCACCTCGACAGGAACTGGGTACCTACTGGGGCTACAGGGTTCGTGTAGCAGATTCCTTCAGTGCTACCTTCACTGAGTGCAGCTACAAGGGGGGTTACGATCTCACTGTGGGCACCTCTGATAAAGGGGACCCAGTCGATGACGTCAACATTCGACATTTCAGGTGCCTTTTTGGTTTGGTTACCATAGTTACACTACTAGGTTCTTTGGTATTTCAGTGCTCCATTACTTTTTTGTTTTGGTTCTTTGGTATTTCAGTGCTCCATTACTTTTTGGTTTGGTTCTTTCTCGTGCATTTTTTCATAGGATGAATTTTAAGAAAATTAAGTACCTTACTTCACACAACTTTGTGTGCCACAACTTTACAACAAATATCCCCAAATTGCAGACATGTTTTGGTATTCCTGGGTGGATTACAAGGTCTAGAACCAGCTATTGAGTCTGATGAGTCCCTTAAGGAAACAGACCCCAGAACTCTGTTCGACTACTATCTCAATACCTGTCCTAACCAGGGAAGTAGGACTATCCGCACTGAGGTTTGTAATTTGTTAAGTTTACTACCAGGGAAGTAGGACTATCCGCACTGAGGTTTGTAATTTGTTAAGTTTACTACCAGGGAAGTAGGACTATCCGCACTGAGGTTTGTAATTTGTTAAGTTTACTACCAGGGAAGTAGGACTATCCGCACTGAGGTTTGTAATTTGTTAAGTTTACTACCAGGGAAGTAGGACTATCCGCACTGAGGTTTGTAATTTGTTAAGTTTACTACCAGGGAAGTAGGACTATCCGCACTGAGGTTTGTAATTTGTTAAGTTTACTACCAGGGAAGTAGGACTATCCGCACTGAGGTTTGTAATTTGTTAAGTTTACTACCAGGGAAGTAGAACTATCCGCACTGAGGTTTGTAATTTGTTAAGTTTACTACCAGGGAAGTAGGACTATCCGCACTGAGGTTTGTAATTTGTTAAGTTTACTACCAGGGAAGTAGGACTATCCGCACTGAGGTTTGTAATTTGTTAAGTTTACTACCAGGGAAGTAGGACTATCCGCACTGAGGTCTGTAATTTGTTAAGTTTACTACCAGGGAAGTAGGACTATCCGCACTGAGGTTTGTGATTTGTTAAGTTTACCACCAGGGAAGTAGGACTATCCGCACTGAGGTTTGTAATTTGTTAAGTTTACTACCAGGGAAGTAGGACTATCCGCACTGAGGTTTGTAATTTGTTAAGTTTACTACCAGGGAAGTAGGACTATCCGCACTGAGGTCTGTAATTTGTTAAGTTTACTACCAGGGAAGTAGGACTATCCGCACTGAGGTTTGTGATTTGTTAAGTTTACCACCAGGGAAGTAGGACTATCCGCACTGAGGTTTGTAATTTGTTAAGTTTACTACCAGGGAAGTAGGACTATCCGCACTGAGGTTTGTTATTTGTTAAGTTTACTACCAGGGAAGTAGGACTATCCGCACTGAGGTTTGTTATTTGTTAAGTTTACTACCAGGGCAGTAGGACTATTCGCACTGAGGTTTGTAATTTGCTAAGTTTACTACCAGGGAAGTAGGACTATCCGCACTGAGGTTTGTAATTTGTTAAGTTTACTACCAGGGAAGTAGGACTATCCGCACTGAGGTTTGTAATTTGTTAAGTTTACTACCAGGGAAGTAGGACTATCCGCACTGAGGTTTGTAATTTGTTAAGTTTACTACCAGGGAAGTAGGACTATCCGCACTGAGGTTTGTAATTTGTTAAGTTTACTACCAGGGCAGTAGGACTATCCGCACTGAGGTTTGTAATTTGTTAAGTTTACTACCAGGGAAGTAGGACTATTCGCACTGAGGTTTGTAATTTGTTAAGTTTACTACCAGGGCAGTAGGACTATCCGCACTGAGGTTTGTAATTTGTTAAGTTTACTACCAGGGAAGTAGGACTATCCGCACTGAGGTTTGTAATTTGTTAAGTTTACTACCAGGGAAGTAGGACTATCCGCACTGAGGTCTGTAATTTGTTAAGTTTACTACCAGGGAAGTAGGACTATCCGCACTGATGTTTGTTATTTGTTAAGTTTACTACCAGGGCAGTAGGACTATTCGCACTGAGGTTTGTAATTTGCTAAGTTTACTACCAGGGAAGTAGGACTATCCGCACTGAGGTTTGTAATTTGTTAAGTTTACTACCAGGGAAGTAGGACTATCCGCACTGAGGTTTGTAATTTGTTAAGTTTACTACCAGGGAAGTAGGACTATCCGCACTGAGGTTTGTAATTTGTTAAGTTTACTACCAGGGAAGTAGGACTATCCGCACTGAGGTTTGTTATTTGTTAAGTTTACTACCAGGGAAGTAGGACTATCCGCACTGAGGTTTGTTATTTGTTAAGTTTACTACCAGGGCAGTAGGACTATTCGCACTGAGGTTTGTAATTTGCTAAGTTTACTACCAGGGAAGTAGGACTATCCGCACTGAGGTTTGTAATTTGTTAAGTTTACTACCAGGGAAGTAGGACTATCCGCACTGAGGTTTGTAATTTGTTAAGTTTACTACCAGGGAAGTAGGACTATCCGCACTGAGGTTTGTAATTTGTTAAGTTTACTACCAGGGAAGTAGGACTATCCGCACTGAGGTTTGTAATTTGTTAAGTTTACTACCAGGGCAGTAGGACTATCCGCACTGAGGTTTGTAATTTGTTAAGTTTACTACCAGGGAAGTAGGACTATCCGCACTGAGGTTTGTAATTTGTTAAGTTTACTACCAGGGAAGTAGGACTATCCGCACTGAAGTTTGTAATTTGTTAAGTTTGATAACTGCGAATAGTTGGAGGGGGTTTGGTTAGATTCAGTTAGATTCAGTTAGATCTGATGATTAAATGTGATCTGATCAGCGTATGTTCAGATAAATTCAATTAAGAAATGTTCAGCTTATTTTGTATATTTTTATTAACTTACTTTATGAAGTAAGTAGCGTCTCCTAAATCGTTATATTCTCAGGAGGCATTAATGATTACCCTGACCGGTTTGCGGAAACAGCTATCAGACAACGGCATGGACTGAAAGCTCAAATATTCATTCAAAATTGTGATATCTTAGAGAATTCTAGAACGACTGTGATCAGAAGCAATGCAAGATTTCTTGGGCTTTCGTCTTGCTTTGGAGCTCCAAAAGGGGAGTGGTGGGGGCAAAAATCTAAAGTTGCTTACCCTAATATCTACCCTTAGTGGTCTGCTTTTTGGATACCGCCGAGTTACTCACAGTTTAGGCAGGAGCGGGATGTTCAGTAATTTTTAATGTTTTTAGTTTTTCCATAATCCTCAGTTTGGTATAATAACTTATTTTAAACAGCAAGGAATTAGGGTTTGTTTATTTATTTTTCTAATAAAATGGTGTTATAGATAAATTGGTGTGGTTTACTATATTAGCTAGGTTTTTAAAATATATCTTATAACTTACTGTCGTTTATTAATATATTATTATTTTAAATATTTTATTATTAGTACTTTGTATTATTAGAATCACGGCCTACTGGTTAATAGCTGTCCTCTAAAATTAGATTTATTTTACATCCTTCATGTAACTGCAATTGTTTAAAATGTTGCCGCCCGAATGTGCAATTAACATAACAGCTATCATTATCTTGAAGCATAAAGATGACCACAGAAATAATAAACGGTATAGAAGTTACGGATTTCAGACAAACGAAACCTGAAGTTATGCCGTCCACTGTGCAGGAGCTCAAAGATTTCATAACCAGGTCCGTTCTTGTAATTTCTTTGTTCTTATAATATTTGCTCTGGTTTTTAAGTTCATGAGTTTAAATTGAATTTCAAGTCAAAGGTTTGATATTAAAGAAGAAGAGATTTTTGAAGAGGAGCTTTTCTGCCGTTCCCTCGACCGAAATTTTGACCAGTGCAGTGACCAATCAGCGAGGTCGGTTGAGAGTGACACAAGTCGCCATCAAGGTACTGGAAGCAGTATATCCGGAGAAAACTTTGATGCAATGAAAATTTTGAATATGTCCTACCGGTAGGACATATTCGAATTTTAGCTTTCCACGACCCAAATTTCACTGTTTTGACTGATATAGCATTGTCACTAAGGATGGCATAAGACACGATCGAGGTACTGAAGGTTCTATTCCCAAAGAAAGCTTTTATAAACTGAAAATCATCAGAATAGAATGTTTTTGTTTGAGTTCCCAATTATATGTTGCTAAATTTTAAATGTTCGTTAACTTTTCCAATAGGCTAAGCGAGGAGCGTGATACGATACAAGTAGACATTGACGAACACAGTGCCGTTCTCAGACGAGAAAATAATGTAGGTTAGTGAATTGTGGCTGAAACAGCCAATAAATGTTCTGCTGTTGGCAGAGTTTATATCGCGGCACAACTTGCTGATGTTGCACTTCTTCGGTTATTTAAGTTCCACATTGTCTTTTGTGTAAATTTGGCCCTTTCATATTTTGTTTCTACCCCGACCCATTCTGGTAACATACTCGTATCATCCTGGATCCTGATTCCTGGCATGTTTCAAACAAAGATTGCCCCCAGGGATGGATGGCCCGTTAGTTGACAATGATTCCTGGTAACATGTTTCAAATAAAGATTTCCCCCAGGGATGGATGGCCCGCTAGTTGACAAGGACCAGTACCCGAGATCTGATATAGACGTTGTGGCAGTGCGGACTGCCAGACAGCAAGTAATCAGACTTACTAACGATATGCGGGGTGTCATGGGACGTATTGAGAGGGCGCTCTACAAACTACATGAACTAGCTCCTCCAAACCAGGTTAGAAACTCGTATTTTTTCATTTAGGACAAGGCGTGATAAACCTAACCAACAGGCTCGACACAGCTCCACACAACTGACAATGGCAGCAAATTTAGAACTTTTACCGTTTTTAGTCCAAACATTCAGAATGACGAAAATGAAATTGAAACATGCTGTTATATTGAGTATGGACTATGGATGTGGGGCGTGAGCGAACGGTCAAAAAGACTACCATTTAATTGATTGGATCAATTTTCACTTTACAGCAGAAAAGTATTAAGTAAGAAGCAGCAGAGCCTCGCCTCGCGGTTCGCCGACGTTAAAATCTTTCAGCACTTCCAGAATTTAAAATCATAAGTTTGAATAGAAATTCTTACCTTTAAACTAATAATCAGGTTCCTAGTCGGAATTCTGTTCGCCGCTTGCGCTTCGGAATTCAGTTTCTATCGGAATCTCGTGCGCAATTTTTTAAGTCTTTAAAATCACGATGTGAAGTATTAGGCCAACTGTTATTAATAGATTATGTAACTTAGGAGTATTATACGGGCCCGAGACTCCGAGAGTATTTAATACATGAGAATATGTGTTAGGTATTGAATGTAATATTTCTGTGTGGACAGCATAATCTTTAGCCTATGATAATTCAATAAAGTAGATCTTAACTTGATTTGCGTTGCTTTGTTAAATCTATCCAGTTTATTTCGTGACTCGTCCCGTTGACAGTTTCCTCTTTAACTTTATATGGATAGAACATTTATGAATGTTATGTTATGAACACCTCCTATCCTCCTTATCCAAAAACTTATAACTTTAAAACCGTATGGTATTAACTCATGCGATCCTTTTGGTATGCCTCTCTTAGTCTTATTTGAAAAGAAATCTTTTGATAGTGGTCCCTTAATTATTCTATCCTCTATGCAGGGACTAGTATATTCACTACTAGTTGGGGCCTCACAACCCCCCCCCCCCCCCCCCCCCCCCCCACGCCCGAGTGCTTTTCATCCTTTTGTAAATTAGAGTTACTATTTTTCGTAGTTTAAATTTTTATTGGAGTTTTCACCCCTTCTTATCTTTATAGGTACTGATGATGGGCGAAAATATTTTACCGATGCTGTAAAGATTTTGTTGGGAACTTTTGGAACTCATTCGTTGTTTGATCTGGATAGTTATAGACTATCGTTATAACTTTTATGTTGGTAGTAACTCACTAGTAACTCACTAGTATTACAATACTTTACCGACTACTGCATATTCTGTGGCCATCCTGTAACGTTTTCATTTCGGGAGGAGGACCTTACGTTCTATGTGAATTTAACACAAGCAATTCAGTGGAATGGATCAGTATCATCTGTATCAACGGAACGGAAAAGAGATCTTCGACAAATACTGTTCGTCAACAGAAAATCGGCCTGTAATGCTTCCCAGAGCCCCTAATCAAAAGTATATTGACGTTTACCCCGGGGAAGGTGAACCAGGTCCAAGTTTCGCCCCAGATATCCAGCAGCAGTTAAACTACGAGGCAGAAGTAGTTGTTTATAGATCTCTACAGGATTCTGATGAAAATATTATAGTTCTCCACAATTTTCAGTTCACACATCACCAATATCGATTGTGTGACAAAAAGCATGCAAGGAAAGGTTGTCGGAAATGTAAAAGTGCTTCCAATGTTGATGGTGAATGTGACTTTTTGGTAATTGGTGAAACTTTCTTCGTTTTGATTGAAGTGAAGAATATAAAAAATAATCTTCCAGAAGGGAAAAAAGACAATGTTGAACAGTCGCGAATATTGTCAGGGACATTCAACAAATCAGTCCAACAAAGAAAGAAAACGACCCAGCTCATTAAAGCAATAGGGAAACGCTCAAAAGTGCTACAGTTCACAGCTTATCCTGAATTCAGCAAAGAATTTCACGAAGAATTTCCGTTGAAGCCTAACGAGATTGACACCATAATCTTCAAGGACGATTTAAACAATTTCGGCACTTGGTGGGAAAAGAATGTGAAATATTTCGTTCGGATGAACATATCGGATGAACATATGTATGCAGGATTTCGTTCTAAACATGAGAAAATTCGGAACATGCTCCTCGCTATTTGGTGCACTGAGAAAGATAACTGCGATCAATCTAAGTGTAGCTTAGGAAGGTGTATACTAGATATCGACGAGAAGTTACGTAGTGGGAAGTTTGTATACAGGAACAATAATCCTAATGTTGTATCAGCACCAGATGACATCATCAGAGAGTGCTTAGGGGTGGACAATTTGACAAAGCAGCAACATGATTTGTATGCTTCAGAGGAAAAGTTTGTACTTATTGAAGGGCCTGCGGGAGCAGGTAAAAGTGTTGTATTGATCGCTAAAGCTATACAACTAGCCAAGTCAAGTGAAAACAATAAAGTGATATTTTTTTCTTTTATAGAGCGATTATGGTTACCAACCATTTATGAGAAAGCTTTTGAAAAAGCGGAAATTCGTTGTCATACAATAAACTGTTTTAACATTTCTGAGCTTTTTGATGTTATATCTAGCGTTGATAGTGAAGTTAAGCTTATTTTGGTGCAAGGAATGCACATTGACATGGCGTTAGATACTACATTACAGTCGATCATAAACATAATCAGTAATCTGGAGGAAGAATATAATGTTTTCATAGACGATTTCCAGTGTTTGTATTATGGCTTTATTAGCCCATCATCAGTTGATCCCAACGATATTAGGAGTATTTTGGTTGCGCTATGTAAAGACAATTTTGTTAGGAGTGATTTGGGCATGTATTCAGCCATAATGTATGATGTGGTTATGTTATCTGCATGTTGTAAATACGTATGGTTGGCTGTAGATTACTTGCAAAGCCTCCCAATTATGGACGGGGAGAAAAAAGACATGCGTGTAATTCGTTGGTGTGTTGAATCTCCACTTGAAAAAGATGGATGGTTAATATATCATTTGCCATCGAATTTAAGAAATACATACAATTTGTCGAATGTATTATCCATTTTGAGAAATAATAGTTGCACTGAAGGTGCACCAATGCCAACCGGGATACATGATATTCCTGCTCAAGTCAAAGGACATTACATTCATGGACCAAGGACTTCCTTCTTTGTTTTAAGAAATTTCAACCTAGATTCGATTATTAGTTGTTTATACAAAGAACTGAAAAAAGTTAGTCACGATGGAATATTGAATTTGCCGGAAACTCTTAAACTTTAATACGAATATCAATGTATAGCTATACTCTAGCTATACTCTATTTTCGCAAGAGTGAAATTCTTAAAAGATTGCAGAAAGACTGCATACAGAGTTTTCATATCCTGTCAAGCCCCCACTTCCAATGGACATACTGTTAGTTCTTAAATCTTACGTCTTCCAACACTGTGTACTTACAAACGCTTTGTGCATGTATCGAAACCACGATCCGGTGCACCTATAGATTAATCAGTATTTGAAATTGGCTCATTTATGGACATTTTTGTTTGTGTTAATCTTTTAATGATGAATATCTAAAGTTGAGTAGTTTGTTTTGTAGGTTTTACAAATTTGGAAATCAGGCTTTTTTTAACGGTTCGCCTTAATTCGCCTAAATTCTTAAAACTGAGAAAATCAAGCCGGTAATCACGCTATATAATGACAACACTATATAATGACAAGCACTTTATAATGACAGCTGATCTTTGTCATAATATAGTCTGCAAAACGGACTATATAATGACAACACTATAATCGAAATATCATAAAATCCCAATATCGTAAAACCGATAATATCAATAATCAAATGTCGAATTCATAGTGCAGCAGAAACAGCAGAGAGATAATCGATGACTTCGTACTCCTGGTTATCGTAGACTTGCACGAAGGATTCCAGAAGGGAGTCGTACCTTATCCACTTGGCTGCTCTCTGGGGTGTAGGTCTTCTCATCAGTCTTTCCGTGATCTTCTGGTCTGTTAGTTCTTGCTCTAGTTTGAGGGCTTCGAGGAATTTCCAGGTGGTAGGATTTGAACACTGGAAGTCCTGAACTTCAGCAACGATCCGTTTAGTTGATGTGTCCGATGCCGCTGCACGTTCCTTCATCATCTGGACCAGGATCTCTGCTCTTTGTTCATCGTGGTTGTGGTTCGGAGAGTTCTTTACTGTCTGTTCATGAAGCACCAGACGAGCCAGACAGGAACAACACAGATCCAGTAGGTCTTCGTGACTCCGTCAGTTCCGTTCCTCTTTCTGTTTAAGGTGTAGCGTTGACCATCCACGAGAGCGTTGTCCTTTCCTCGTTTACCAGTAGTGTATTCAACACCAACGAGCTCCAACAAGTACTCATGTTTCCACTTGAGTACTTGGATCACATCCTTTCCACAGCTTGATGATCTGTGGCACGTTCGATGTTACGCGACCTTACCATTTGAAGGCATGGGTCACATCCTTTTAGGTAAATTTGCAGCCGTCATTATATAGTGTGCAAAACGCACTTTATAATGACAGGACTATATAGTGACAAGTCATTATAAAGTGCTTGTCATTATATAGTTTTGTCATTATATAGTGCGGGAATCAAGCCATAAAAACTCAAATTTTTCTCTCAGCCAAATTTGAAAACTTTTATCAAACACGATTGATACCAACCAAAAGATCTTGCCAGCCTTTTAACATATTAAAGTAATTAAAATGTTTTACCTTACAAAGTACAAACTGATTAGCCTTTACAAACTGATCAGCCCAACATTACTTTATTGTATGTGTACATTGTACTATTTGTAAACGTTTCAAATCAATTAAATCAGCTTCAATTGTGTAAAAAACAAAAACTAAAACATATACGGGTACTTAGTTGATACGGTACTTAGTTGAAACGAATTGAATTCGCCGCTCTTGAAACAATACGTGAGTTGTCCAATTTCGAATCTTATGCATCTTTCACATCTAGCATGATAATACAGTCTGTGAGTCTGCGCGAAAATCTCAGTGAATTGTCGGGAAGTAAGTAGCGCACCAACCCCCCCCCCTCCCGTCATCAACAACAATGGTACCGAAACAAGAGAGCGAGTATTGCCCCCAACAAGACCCCCCTTCCTATTAGTACACGGAGTGATTCCCAACTCTCCCGTTTATTATTAGTTTAATATTATCAGTAACCACCCTCTATCTAGAGTGAGGGTACTGAAACAAGAGAGCGAGTATTACCCCCAACAAGACCCCCCTTCCTATTAGTACACGGAGTGATTCCCAACTCTCCCGTTTATTATTAGTTTAATACTATCAGTAACCACCCTCTATCTAGAGCGAGAGTACCGAAACAAGAGAGCGAGTATTACCCCCAACAAGACCCCCCTTCCTACGGGTACACGGAGTGATTCCCAACTCTCCCGCCCATTCTAGTGGACTTAGGGACGAGGATACTATCTGCCAGATAGGATCTCTTCACAGAGACAACTTTACTAGTGAGTATCTTATATTTATATAGTGCGCAACTGTTATTTGCTTTACTAGTGAGTCTCTTAGTAATTCCTTGCGTTTCTTTCTTTTTAGTTTATACAAAAAACTAGATATATTATATATCTACCATTAGTAAATCTTCGATTATGCATTTTTATCTCCCTTAATTAATAATAACCACTGAATTTGAATTTTACACCTTATTTATCCATTCAAGCAGGACCGTGAATTTATATCTCAACCTTTCACGGCTGTAATCTCCCTTGTACTCAAAGCCCCACTTTCAGATCTTGGAGATGTAGCGGAGGTGGTTAAACTTAGTGTTAACAAAGCTGTGCCTGTTAAACTTATCAGAGGTGGAACTCCTAAGACGATCGCACTGAAACCCCGTCCTTGGCAGGGCCGGGGCGTGCTCGGGTGCAATGTAGCTGAACTTACTGTTGAGATTTGAGTTAGAAACTCTCAATTCAAAACATTTGATATACTGAGAACAATTTGTATTTATTTTGTTGACGGTATTCCGTGAAGGTTTTTGTATTCAGAAAGCTTATGTATCCTTTTTAACGGAGAAAGACATTTTATTTATTCCAGAGAATTGATAATTAGTTATATATAATTGATTAATTAATTACAATTATAATTATAATTATAATCATTAGTCTGGTACAGTGGTGTATTTTTCTTCTGTTACATTATTGATTCTCGCAATTCCGAAATGCATTTCTAATACTTAAATGCCGATAAATTCTGATAAATTGTGGTTCAACGAACCTAATGCTCATTGCTCAATCTTCATACCATTGTTGTTATTCCTCTACTTCTGATTTATGTATTTATTAAATTTGTTAATTAATAATTAACGTATTAATTAATGTAGGATGAGGTTGGTTGGTCTGACAGGGGGTATAGCGTCCGGAAAAACGTCCGTAGCTAGTGTTCTCAAGGAACACGGAGTGGCTGTTCTCTCTTGTGATGCTGCCGCTAAACAAGGTTAGTTCAGGATGAGGTCACGTGGGTCCAGGTCACGTGGGTCTTTTAGGGCAAATTAGGTGTTAAGTGTAAAGAATTAGATGAACTTTGAGGCCTTGAGGGTAACCGCCTTCCAGCCCCAGAACCTTGTGCCCCAGAACCTTGTGCTCCAGAACATTGTGCCCCAGAACCTTGTGCCCCAGAACCTTGTGCCCCAGAACCTTGTGCCCCAGAACCTTGTGCCCCAGAACCTTGTGCCCCAGAACCTTGTGCCCCAGAACCTTGTGCCCCAGAACCTTGTGCCCCAGAACCTTGTGCTCCAGAACATTGTGCCCCAGAACCTTGTGCCCCAGAACCTTGTGCCCCAGAACCTTGTGCTCCAGAACCTTGTGCCCCAGAACCTTGTGCCCCAGAACCTTGTGCCCCAGAACCTTGTGCTCCAAAACCATGTGTCCCACAACCATGTGCCCCAGAAACTTGTGTCCCAGAACCTTGTGCCCTAGAACCTTGTGCCCCAGAACCTTGTGCCCTAGAACCTTGTGCCCCAGAACCTTGTGTCCCACAACCATGTGCCCCAGAACCTTGTGCCCCAGAACCTTGTGCCCCAGAACCATGTGTCCCAGAACCTTGTGCCACAGAACCTTGTGTCCCAGAACCTCGTGCTCCACTAGTGTTACAACATTAAGTAAATATAATTCAGAGGCACATATTAGGTGCGATGGGTGCGGGATCGCACAATTTACCGTTTTCCGCACATGTCCGCATAATTTATTGTTTTCCGCACATGTCCGCACATTTTGTAATTTTCTGCATATTTCCGCATAATCTAGCATTTTCCGCGTAATTTCGCATAATTTTGAAATTTTCGCGTTAAGATTTTCGAGTGTAAAAACCAAAATATGTTATAGTCGGGCCCTTTTAGGACCGTGACTCAGGCCCTTTCGGGACCCTGACCCAGGCCCTTTTAGGACCGTGACTCAGGCCCTTTCGGGACCCTGACCCAGGCCCTTTTAGGACCGTGATTCAGGCCCTTTCGGGACCGTGACCCAGGCCCTTTTGGAACTCATACCTAGGCCACGTGACCCAGTTACCACGTGACACAGGCCCTTTCGGGACCCTGACCCAGGCCCTTTCGGGACCGTGACACAGGCCCTTTCGGGACCGTCACCCAGGCCCTTTTGGGATCGTTACCCAGGCCCTTTCGGGACCGTTACCCAGGCCCTTTCGGGACCGTGATCCAGGCCGTTATGAAACCCTCGTCGTTACCATACTTTGATTATAGTTTATCAGTTATCATTCGTAACTTCACCACATCATCTGATTACTCTAAGTCACTGTTCTCAGATAACTGAATCTCAATATAGGTTCAATTATGGTCTTAGTAAAGAACTACACCCTCAGTAACACATAAACAGACCTATTTTTGATAAGAGCGGCGGTTATACATTTAGAATTTCCAAAGTCCTTGAGAAAATGCAAAAGAAAACCGCACAATTCCCGCACAAATTTCGAAAAAATCGCCGCACATTTGCCGCATAATTGGTAAAAATTTACCGCAACTTACCGCACATTTTACCTTTATAGTCGGGTGCGGTACCGCATAATTTCGATTTTTTTACCGCACCTAATATGTGCCTCTGAAATATATATTATGGTTTAGATAAGCTGGGGCAGGAACCAATTTATTTCATTTGTTTTTTCTTCATACACATAGTAACCATGCATAGTAACCATAGTAACTTCATTTGTTTTCTCTCCATACGATAATTTCAGCTCATTTTTTCAGTGGTCGAACAAGGGTGTCCTGGCTACAAGAAGGTTATCGCTAGGTTTGGGGAAGCTATTCTCCTTCCTTCCGGTGAAATAGATCGTGTTAAACTGGGTTAGTGAAGTTTCAAATTTTGCTTAATTAAGTTAATTAATTAATTTCGTGAGAGAATTAAGTTAGGGCTTTTGAAATAGCTAAATTTCAATGGAGAAGCATAAATATAAATAAAGCAACCATTGTCTGGAGCTTTCTCAATTTAGTTTTATTTGATTAAGCTTTGAACAATTTGTAATTTGACACTGACAATCAAATACTCAATTATATTATTAAGTTCACTTGATTGATATTGAATGATTTAGGAACAGAAATAAATAACTACTAATAGGCCCTCAAAACACCACGTTAACACTGTACCAAATAGATCTGAGCCCCCAAAATTTCAAAAACGTAAAATGATGAAAACTATTGGCAATGCTGAAACTACGCCTTAAGCCAACAACTAACAATATTTAAGTACCATCCAACCCTAAAGTCTTCTTCCACCCACACCGTACCCATCACTGTAAACAAACCACCTATTCTTTGATCATTTTCTCAAGCAGAGGCAAGCTAGCTGTAAGCTCCGGAATGTTCTTCTCGCATCTCTTGGTGTCAATAACCAGACGTTTGAGGAGGAGGTCCTTCTCGAAGAGCTCCTTTCTGCAGCTCAGTCTAGTGTTGATACAGTTAGCCTCGTTCTTTAGGAGCGCCTCTCTACCTTTCTGGACCTTGTTTTCCCAGGTCTTCTTCTGGAAGTTACATTTAGATTTAATGTTGTCCAGTCTGTTCATTTCGGTTTCGTAGATCTTCTGGGTCTCCGCCCTTTCGTTCTTATTGTGCTCCACTTCAGCCTTGAGCTCCTCGATTTGCAATTTGTGGATCTCAACTGGGTCACACTTCTTCTCAATGTTCACTTTCTTGGTGCACAACTTAGACTCCTGGAACTGCAGTTTCTGCTTGTTACGTCTCTGAACGTCATAGTCTTCTTCCTGTGCCTTCTTCTTCTGCTCATGTTCCGTCTTCAGAGAGACAACTGTACATTCCAGCTGAGAATTTTTAGTCATGAGAGCAGCGGCCTCCTCCTTCAGAGCTTCCACATCTAGCTGCAACTTCTCAATCTCCGCTTCTGCTGTTCGTGAATCCTCGATAATCTTGGTGCGGGTGTCCTCGGTCAGACGATCAACGGCTCTTTTTTCCAGTCTCAGCTCTTCATGCTTGATTTTCAGTTGGTCCAGTTCGCAAGACATGTTTTTAGAGTGTTTCCTACAAAGTGTTGCATTAATCAAAATGTGGTTTGGAAATTAGTATTACAGGAAAAAATTGTCAAACGTTGCTAAAAATTGCCTAAAAATTGCTAAAAATTGCTAAAAATTGCTAAATAAAGGTTTTGAATAAAAATTCTAAACAGAAATATACGTTTATAATAACATAAACCCGCCACGCAAAGGGTTTATATAACAGATCATCCCGCGCTAGCGGGATGATCTGATAAACACATACGAGTGCGCGCAGCGCACGAGTTTTGTGTTAATATGTAATCCCGAAGCGCCAGCTGAGGGATTACATTTATTTAGCCCTGAGCGTGAAGTGTTTATGGATTATAATTATCTCCGGCGATTTCGACAAGGGATTTATACTTTAGATTGGAAAGCAGTTCATCAATCTGAATGTCAAACCGATCTGTCATAGTGGAACAATAGCTTGAACGTTAGCAGGAACAAGAGCTGGAAGGAGAGCAAGCAAAACAATACTATTTTTAGGGCACGGACAAGGGTAGCTGGCTAGTCGCCAACTTCTCACGCCACGCGTTGGAGAAATTCCAAAAATTAGCTGCTTTGGCAACGTTCCCAGGAATTTGCGTGTAAAAGCAGTGGACGGTTACGATGTTTCATATCACGTGGTGCGCTTTCGTGTCACGTGGTATAGACTCGGCGTATGCTATTGGTGGCACGTGGTACGCACGTGACGCGCCCACGTGATCGCGCGTCTAACTGTTCTACTGTTATCGAGTTCTAATCAGCAGTATCATTGATTATTGTAAGTCGGAGAATTGAATGATAAACATCAGTTACGACTAAAAAGCGGGCCGGGTTTATACAAATTTCCGGGGCGGGATGATATCACCTTGAGATGTTTATCTAACAGCGGGCCGGGCTGAGTGATAATATGATCCCGCGTCGAAATCCCGGAGATATTTATATTCTGACAAATTGACTGAGTAATGGTACACGTGTCAGCGGGAACTATTTATACTCACTCTAGTTAATCAGCTTGATTGTTAGTTATCATTCCTCCAATCGCGCTTTCCCTTGATTTATCTGCAATTATTTTTTTAATGAGAGCAGAAACTTCCTCCAAACTTCAAAAATTTGATGAAATTAAAGTTCCCAATCCTTATGTTAATCCTCTTTTTTTTCTAATTTGATAATCAGTACATTAATTGCTTGTCCATTTAAAATTTGCGATAAGAATTAACACGAAACATTGCTTATTAAAATATGGTATTTTGTATTAATATTATTGGGCCAATTTGTGGGACTGCAATATCGAATTACGTCACGTCATAAGATTTAGTAAATCGTGCCTTAACACAATTGGTTAAGGTTTTGAGAGGAGAGCTATATATTGTCAGAGACGTCACAGCTGCGCTTTTCCAATCAGTATCCAGCTGCAACCAAGTAAAATAACTAAAGTTAACTTGATTGACAGTAGATAATTAATAAAACAAATATTTAATAAAACAAATATTTATTTTTACGGCACAATCAAACAATAACAATAATAAATAAATCAGGGGAGGTTTGAAGAGGTTTCAAGTGCCGAAGGCCACTGCTTATCTTTAGGATTTGAGAGCCCCCTCAACCATCCACTACGTCAATATACTTATTCTTATGTACGTACAATTGACTGGTCACACTTACTATATACTATATAGGGCTCCTGTCTAGAAAGGACCAGCTCCAATGACCGATATAGCTCTAGACTCAGACTGTCTTGAATTCAATTGTGAGCATTGCATTGCCACTATGAAACCATTTTCGCGCATGTAAATTGATTTTTCATGTGGTATTGAGTTTAAATTTGATGTGAGTAGGAGAGTAATGTAATTGTGTAGTACATAATTACTAATTAGTTATAATACACAATTAGTTATGCTACATAATTAGTTATGATAAATAATTAGCGCAAAATTCAAAATACTTTTAACTCGAGTATTACTATTATTTTGCTGAAATCTTAAACGTCAAATTATAATATTTTGAGCTAAAATTGAGCCTTCTGAACAACTTCTGATGAGTCTGTAAAGGAAATGATGGGGGGGGGGCCAATGGCATAAATGGAGAAAATGGAGAATTACTCATGGGTTTTTCCATTTTCTCCATAGAAATAGTCTCCATTTTATGCCATTTTATGCCATTTTATGCCATTTTATGCCATTGCCCCCCCCCCCCCCCCCCGAAATGATAAAAGACGCGGGGTTGCTTGCCAGCATTTTGATCTATCGCTTTTTTCAGGTGATTTGGTGTTTAATGATGCAGAAAACAGAGATGCTCTGAACAAATGCATCCATCCTGAGATTGCTAAGGTCATCAGACGTCACATCATCTGGCACTTTATCAAAGGTAGGTTCAGTTGGACTCAGTTTATATTTACTAGCAGAAACCCGTCTTACCCTGAAGTGGTGTCAATATTCCACACGACACCACTTGGGGGTCCAAATTTTAGGCACTCAAATTATTATTCCTTCCTCCTCCTCCTCCTCCTCCTCCTCCTCCTCCTCCTCCTCCTCCTCCTCCTCCTCCTCCTCCTCCTCCTCCTCCTCCTCCTCCTCCTCCTCCTCCGCCTCCTCCTCCTCCTCCTCCTTCTCCTCCTCCTTCTCCTCCTCTTCCTCCTTTTCCTCCTCCTCCTCCTCCTCCTCTTCCTCCTCCTCCTCCTCTTCCTCCTCCTCCTCCTCCTCCTCCTCCTCCTCCTCCTCCTCCTCCTCCTCCTCCTCCTCCTCCTCCTCCTCCTCCTTTGTTGGGTTATGCAAGAACTCAATAAGTTTTGTAACAGTTAAATGTTGCTAATGTTATCCGATCCCCAGGAACGACGATAGTTGCTGTAGACATACCTCTTCTGTACGAGAGTTGCAACATTAATCCCTTCCTTCACTCCATCGTTGTTGTTTACTGGTGAGTTTCTTCTTTCTGTCAGGGATATAATTAATATGATTAATACCTCAGCTGGTACGAATGGTAGAGATTGATTCATACAATAGAAACGGTTATAAGACACGTTCCAAAACCAAAATGATAGTCGATACCTCCCCCAACGCATTCTTAAAACTTCTTATCGTATTCAGCACAGCCGAACAGCAAAAAGTAAGGCTGATGGACCGGAATGATCACTTTACCGAAGAGGAGGCTCAGGCTAGAGTAGACTCTCAGCTTTGTATTGAGGAGAAGAGAAAGAGGGGAGATCACGTGATTGATAATACCGGACTTTTCTCTGAAACTGGTAAGATTATTGATAATACCGGACTTTTCTCTGAAACCGGTAAGATTATTGATAATACCGGACTTTTCTCTGAAACCGGTAAGATTATTGATAATACCGGACTTTTCTCTGAAACTGGTAAGATTATTGATAATACCGGACTTTTCTCTGAAACTGGTAAGATTATTGATAATACCGGACTTTTCTCTGAAACTGGTAAGATTATTGATAATACCGGACTTTTCTCTGAAACCCGTAAGATTATTGATAATACCGGACTTTTCTCTGAAACCCGTAAGATTATTGATAATACCGGACTTTTCTCTGAAACTGGTAAGATTATTGATAATACCGGACTTTTCTCTGAAACTGGTAAGATTATTGATAATACCGGACTTTTCTCTGAAACCGGTAAGATTATTGATAATACCGGACTTTTCTCTGAAACCGGTAAGATTATTGATTATACCGGACTTTTCTCTGAAACTGGTAAGATTATTGATAATACCGGACTTTTCTCTGAAACTGGTAAGATTATTGATAATACCGGACTTTTCTCTGAAACTGGTAAGATTATTGATAATACCGGACTTTTCTCTGAAACTGGTAAGATTATTGATAATACCGGACTTTTCTCTGAAACTGGTAAGATTATTGATAGTACCGGACTTTTCTCTGAAACTGGTAAGATTATTGATAATACCGGACTTTTCTCTGAAACTGGTAAGATTATTGATAATACCGGACTTTTCTCTGAAACTGGTAAGATTATTGATAATACCGGACTTTTCTCTGAAACTGGTAAGATTATTGATAATACCGGACTTTTCTCTGAAACTGGTAAGATTATTGATAATACCGGACTTTTCTCTGAAACTGGTAAGATTATTGATAATACCGGACTTTTCTCTGAAACTGGTAAGATTATTGATAATACCGGACTTTTCTCTGAAACTGGTAAGATTATTGATAATACCGGACTTTTCTCTGAAACTGGTAAGATTATTGATAATACCGGACTTTTCTCTGAAACTAGTAAGATTATTGATAATACCGGACTTTTTTCCGAAACTGGTAAGATTATTGATAATACCGGACTTTTCTCTGAAACTGGTAAGATTATTGATAATACCGGACTTTTCTCTGAAACTGGTAAGGTTATTGATAATACCGGACTTTTCTCTGAAACCGGTAAGATTATTGATAATTCCGGAGTTTCTTCTCTGAAACTGGTAAGGTTATTGATAATACCGGACTTTTCTCTGAAACCGGTAAGATTATTGATAATTCCGGAGTTTTCTCTGAAACTTGTAAGATTATTTTTGGTGATGAGATTTTCGTGAATTTGGGTGATCTTTGATGTTGGCCATTTATCCATGACGAATCTATGGTGACAACTGACAAATAGTGACATATGATTATGATGAGACCAAAATATTTTTGTACCTTTAAGTTTAATAAATATGTCGTCTATCCTACCGAAATATTGATACTATCCTTCACCCCGCACAGCAATTTATTGTAATGTGTTATCTTTCAGAACGACAAGTAGCAGCACTGGTTCCCCATCTCAAAGATGGAATAGTTCCTATACAGAAGATAATACTTCTGGGCTTGTTTGCCTTGATCGTGTTCATAGTATGGTCTAAAATGTTTTAGGACATTGTGACAGTTTTATGTTCTTATATGATAAGATTCTTTCACGAAAAAAAATGTTTGCATGAAATGTTTGTATTTTGCTACCGGTCTAATTTGTTAACCGTTTTGAAGATCTGATTTTCGTTTTATGCGCATGTCTTGAGGTACTTTTTGAATAAAATTCTAAATTCTTCTTGTATTCATTTGATTATAATTTCAGAAAAACTTTTATCAATTACAAAATACAGTTTAACAATTTATGCATCAGATATAAACCCTGACCAGTGTACCAGGGTACCAGTGTACCAGGGTACCAGTGTACCAGTGTACCAGGTTACCAGTGTACCAGTGTACCAGTGTACCAGTGTACCAGTGTACCAGTGTACCAGGTTACCAGTGTACCAGGGTACCAGTGTACCAGTGTACCAGGGTACCAGTGTACCAGTGTACCAGTGTACCAGGTTACCAGTGTACCAGTGTACCAGGGTACCAGGGTACCAGGGTACCAGTGTACCAGTGTACCAGTGTACCAGGTTACCAGTGTACCAGTGTACCAGTGTACCAGTGTACCAGTGTACCAGTTGTACTACTAACGTTACAGAGTAGCTTAATAATTATGTTAATTGCGGCTTTGATGTTTGAGAATATGCATATTTAAATTGGCTTGCTTATTGCTCCAACTAAATGATTTGAATTAAAGTAATTGTGTTCAGATCATATATAATTTATTTCGTAGTTCGTTTAGATATTAAACCTTCCTATGATTCCTATATGATACTTTTGAAGTGTTTTCTGGTGGTTTATTGTTAATCGTTGTGTGATATATATCAATAAATCTTCCTATGATTACTATTATGATATAATTAAAGTTTTAATTTTTTTCTGAATAGATTTGTTTTTGAGATGATTTAGTTGTTTGTTGCTGGATATTTTCACCTCACCCTTTAGAACCGCTCTGACATGGTTAGTACCTGACACTTGTGTCAGTTGCTAACCATATGGGCGGTATACAAGCACATTATTTCATTTCATTCATAGTTGAACACATACAAATGGATAATATGAGTATGACTCGTTTTTGTGAATTTAAACATCTGCTACCAATATTTGTTGTTAACCATACCACATACATTGGATCCAGACAAAAAACCTTGACAGACGCAGTTGACTATTTTATTTAGATAATTTGTCTTATATTTTATGTACCATGAAAAAACTAGAAACTCTAATATATTTAATCTTATGTAATTCTCTAATTTTGTGATACTTACTTACTTGTACTTGATTAGGTCTCCTCAATCATTCGAGTGGCCTGCACCAATGAACTCCCGTTTGTGACGTATCATCTCCCTCCAAAGTTTGCGGTCACTAGCCATCTCGCTCGCTCCTTCTAGGTCTATGTCAGTGTTTCCTGTAAATGCTGCAGCATCTTCCAGCAAACATTTCCTCCAGTTCTTTCTTGGACGGCCCCTAGATCTTCTCCCATGGGCAGGGGTCCAGTTAAGCAGGTACTTAGGAAGCCTAGTGTCTGGCATTCTGGTGACATGGCCAAACCAACGCAGGCGGTTTGCTCCTATGTACGTCTCTACTGGATTTATCTTTGCACGCTCCAGCACTTCAGTGTTTCTAACCCGATCGAGCCATCTTATCCTAAGTATTCTCCTCAAGCAACGCTGATGGAACACCTCAAAGCGATGTAGCTGCTTTTTGGTTGTGTTCCAAACCTCACTACCATATAGCAATATTGTCAAAACCGCTGCCTTATAAATCCTGATCTTTGTATAAGACTGGATGTTGCGGTTTTTCCATATATTACTCAGTTGATTGAAGGCTCCGGAAGCTTTCTGAATCCTCGCTGACAGCTCACGGTCGATAGTACCGTCGCTGGAAATAATTGTACCTAAGTACGTAAAGTCACTAACTTGCTGCACTGGCGTGTCTTCAACAGTGATGTTCACTGTGGCTTCTTTCGTGTATGGCCGTTGAGAGGTTGCTTTACCAATGACCATAGCCTCAGTCTTTTTACCATTGATTCTGAGACCTCCCTGGGCACCATACATACACAAAAGGTCAGTTGTTTCTTGAAGACCTTCCTCGCTGTTATCCAGTACAGCCATGTCATCTGCATAATCTGTATCTAACACAGTGATATCATCAACAAGCGGACTGATAGATCTTTGAAGAACCGCTCCGTGGGACACCACTTTGTTGCTTTCTGTTCTCTCAGCAGCCACATTGAGGCAGACATTAAAAAGTGGAGGACCCTGAATGTCTCCTTGGCCACTGCCTGAACTTACTTCAAACCATTCTGATAGTTCACCATTGTGTCTAACAGCACTAACAGTTCCATTAAAGAATGCCTGTATTATTCGAATGTATTTACATGGCAGGCCATAATGACTGAAAGCTTTCCAAATATAATTCCTGTCGATGGAATCAAAAGCTGCCTTGAAGTCCACAAAATTTACATACAGGGGGAGATTATATTCAATGCAGTTATGTATAATAGTGCGGAGTGAATAAATCTGATCAATGCATGATCTGTTCTTTCTAAACCCACACTGATTGTCTCGTAGCAAACTTTCTAAACCGTCACTCATGCGTTGTAATATGATGATTTGATACAGTTTAGATGCTGTAGATCTTAGAGTGATCCCCCTATTATTGGAGCAATGAGAGGTATCACCCTTCTTTGGTACAATTATCACGATGCCTTTCAACCAGTCGTCAGGCACTGCTTCTGAATTCCAAACTTTAGAGAACAATTTCTCCATCCTATCCACAAGACCACTTGCCCCATACTTTAACTGCTCATTAGAGATTTCGTCGATCCCAGCACTTTTGTGGTTCTTCAATTTTTTGAGACAGTTTAAAATCTCAAGTCTAGTGGGGGGACCATCACCATCACCAAGATAAGGAAAGCATGGAACCACTTCAAGATGGTCCAGGTCAGACAGATCCGCATTCGTGGGAGGAGGGTTTAATAGCTCCGAAAAATGTTCTCCCCATCTCTCTCTCTGAGCAGAGGGATCAGCAATCAACTTCCCGGATTTGTCTCTTACAGCAGTTGATTTTCGATTCTTCTTACCGGACAGTGTTTTTATCCGTTGCCAGACTTCCCTTTGCCGGCCATGGACAGCAGCTGTTTCCAGATCTGCTGCAACTCTAAGAGCCCAATTCTCGTCGTCTTTCCTGCAGCTCTTTTTGACAAGTTTGTTGGCCCGAGAATACTCGCTCCTATTGTTGTTGTCACTAGGCGCCATCTGTTTAATCTTACTGCGTTCGGCAATAAGGTTTTTTGTCTCCTGAGACAAATGCTGCTGCTTTCTACGCCGGGGGCGCTCACCCAGTACCTCCATAGACACTTCTTTAATAGTATCCTTAACTAATGTCCATTCTCCATCAAGATTCTCCTCCATTGGTAGGCAGCTAAAACGATTTTGAAGAGCAATGCAGTACTCTTCAACCTTGGACTGATCTCTAAGATTCTCAATTGCTGGAGATATCCTACGAGAGGCGTTCAGTTTTTGAACTGCCATAAGTTTGACTCTAAATTGACCTCGAACCAAATAATGATCGGAGCCAATGTCTGCACCCCTGCATGATCTTACGTCAAGTAGAGAGTGACTCCACTATAGCATATACAGCATGATATAATTACAAATTAATATTAATATAATAACAAATTAATATTAATATAATTACAAATTAATATTAATATAATTACAAATAAAATTAATATTAATATAATCATATTAATACTTTGTATTTGTGAGTTTATTTGATTTTGATGTGTTTGAATATATAATTATAAGTGTTTCCCTTGTTTAGATCACAATGCTGGCAAGCATTACCGTCGCCCTTATATTCACAATACTATTTACCCCCTATACTAGTATATCCCCTTTATTGTTTTCCAGGCATTAAGATTCATCGAAAGTAGTTCAGCAGGCATATTTAAGTTCAAAACATTCTAATTCAATGTTAAAGATGACAGGAATAAGAAATAGTTATGTGGAGGTTTTTAAGAAATTTGCGCAAAATACGCGCCAGCATGTTATACGAAATTAGGTAAAAAACCCAAAATCGCCATATTCAGGTGCCTTAAAAACCATGTTAAAACTGAGTTAGAGATATGAAACTTTGCAGGGCGTCTAGACCTTGTCCAAATCGACTGTAAAAAAAATTTCATGTTTCAGGAGTATCGGCAAGTGGGTTTTCTGGAACCCCTGTTTTACAACAGATTGTCGTGAAGTATATATATATATTATATATATATAGACGCTTTTGCAGTCAATTATAGCCTACATTTAAGTGTCCGTAGATTCAAAAGTATAAAAGATACAGTCATTTCGAACCACAGGTCTTGAAGATAATCGTTTACACTCTAGTTTCCATTATATTAAAAAATAATTTAACGTCATCATCATCACTTGATGACGTCATCAAGTTAAGTGTTTTTAAAACTTGGTTTTTAACAAAATAACAACTTTTCAAATCGATTTTAAACCATTAAGGAGTAATTTTATTCAAAATCTAAGGACATCTTTACCTTAGATAATTGTTCAAGCATTCTGAAAATCTACCGGAAAATTTTCCTACCTTGCTCCTTCATAAAGATATTCGCTATTGAAGTTAGTGCTTTTTTGAAGAATAATTTTATAAAAATACAAAAGTTGTGAATTAGTATTCTCTGGTGTTGGGCCATCCCTTGAGTTGTGGAGCTCGATTGTGCTTTCTAAAGGTCTAAATTGTGTTATAGGCTAGTTTTAAAGTTGAAAATCGAAAAGTTGCACACGTGGGGACACGCCCAAATTGATAGAAAATTGCTAAAATTACTGAAAATTGCTGTTTTCACCATTTTTATCAACTTTGGAGTCCCGTTGTGATCCAAGTTCTATATGAAATCTTCTGAAACTTTGCATGCTTATTAAATTATATATAAAATACTGCTATGCAAAAATTTACGGTGATTCAATATTGTATGCGCACGCAACGTCCGCTCAAAGTTTGCACGTGCGAAAGGTGAGAATTTTGCTCATTCGTGATTTCGAATAAATTCTGCTTTCCCGCGATATTTAAATGGAATTATATATCAATTTAATGCCAACTTGAATGAGTAAAAAGTGCCATATTCAGTCAGGTAAAATTTCGAAATCGATGAAATTACCTCCTAATTATTAATATAAATATTAATGAAGTTATGAGTTTACATTTCGGCTTTGTAAATTATCCTGACATTA